ATGAAATACAAAGTCTCACTGTGATTTATACATACCGTAACATTTTAATCCCTTTCATTTCTACACTTTAAACCTCTGCACTTTCAACAAAAAAATTATAACCATGTCAACACTAACTTCCGGTAAATTCCTGGAGTCTGCTTTTATAATCCCAATCTCTATTTTTATTCAAATATACAGTTAAATTTCGCAAAGAAACAATGTTAACCTTTATAAGCTGTCAAAACAGGGATGACGTCACTCGACGCTGATTGGCGTTTTAAAAATTATGTATAAGTATTAATATTTCAAATATTACGGATTATAGTAACGTGAAACTTTAAATTTGTTAAAAATCTATAAAAAAATGTTGCACTGGTCAATTTTTTATGATTTTTTTTTAATATATAGAAGGCCGCTGATTTTTAATATATATCATATATAGGCCTAGGTCATAAACTTTTAAAGAATTTTGATGTGCGGAGACCCCACGGACCTAAAGTTTCAACAGCAAATGGCACAAATACATATCTAAACATAAAGACTCATATTTGCGCCATTTACTTACTTCAGCTGCTTCCGATGCCGCCCTGGCCCTGATCGAAGTACCCCTTAAATGAGAGGCAGCCAAAGTGTCTACACAAGTGGTGTCCCAAATAAAAATAATGATGATTGTCATTAGGATTTTAAAATAAAACTGAATTTATACTATTTATTCAATCTTTTCTTTTTTAACTATTTTCTATATTATTCAAGTGCTTTACTTTGCATAGGAGGTAAACGATCGTTGAGGCGCATTAAATCAATTACTTTTAAAATTTTATTTATGATACTACACCAGTTAATCTCAGATAATTTGATTGTGATGGAAACAAACTAAACTGAAGCAGAGTCTCTTTGTAATTTTCAGATGATAAGAAATCAAATGAATATTTAAATTTTATTTTATTAGTACTTCTTTTGAAATTTCGTTTGCATTTATTTTCAATTCTAAATATTCGTTTGTCTCTTTGACAATATAACAAAAAAAAGTAACAGCGAATTCTGAGGGATAGGTTAGTTTTTGTTTATTTTTAAGTTCTTTATATTCTCTGAGAGAAATCCATTTGTGGATAGAAGATACATTATTTTGGGACAAACAGTTTTTACATTTCAGACAGCTGAATTTACTCAAACATTTTTTCACAACTCATCCCGCATTGAATGCACGAGAGTGTACGATAAGCTATTCTGTTTAGCCGATTGAATATTTTCGGAATATTTCCGAGACAAATTTTTACTTTGGTTTAGGTCTAAAAAGTTTTGTTTTAATTCAAATATTTTTCTCCTGAAGTTTCTTCACAATTAATATTCTTCGAGTGAACATTAATAAATCATAATAAATATCTTTTTATTTATCATCGTCTTAATATTGTTGGCAGAATTCTTCGAGTAGCCTTAGTACAATAAGTAAAAAAAAAACAAAAAAAAATGTCATATTCTAGACTACTACCGTTTGTTTATGGTCTTAATAGGTACGGTCTAATTTTCTTGTTCTAAGATTCCATGCCGTGAATCCAAGTGACCACTGCTTCTGTTGATTGGTAATCTCAGATTATACATACTCTTTTGATATCAACTCTGACCTATTTGATTTATGTATTATGTTTGAATTACTTTAAATTTGGAATGTTAGTTTTATTTGTTCAGACTGAATTGTCATGTTTAATTAATTCCGTAAAAATCGTTTGAAGATGTAACATGTATAGCTATCTGACATTACTCCTGTATTTTATATAAATTCAATAATGATTACGTTTGGTCCAAAAATAAGTTCAAAATGTTTAAGTTGAAATAAACAGTTTTCCTATCAGTCCTTAAGTGTCTTTTTGGTTTGAGAGCGATTCCATTAGTCACATCCACCATTCAAGAGCTTCATGCGACCATGTGTCTCTTGGCTATCCATCCTCTTGACCATGTGTCTCTATATATATATGGTGGTAGTATTTTGACTATCAATAAACGAGTGTAATACTCCTATGTTGAATAAAAACATTTGATTTTGATGATACAAATTTAATTCAAAATTAAGTGACTGGGCAACAGTGGGTATATATAAAATTAGGGATTTACTGTATGAATTATATAATATGAGACAACAATAAGGGTACAAACGTTTTCAAAAATACCTATTTAAAGTCTGTATTCAGGAAAAATCTATTATAAGAAAAAGAATTTTAAATACAAGCAATAATATAAAAGCCACATGGGACATCTTTACTCGTATATCTAGAATACCCAAGATATTCAGAGAACCTAAAGCTGGTGATAGGTAATAGACCCATAACTTCGAGATAATGAAATTGCAAGTAGTTTCGAAAGCTATTTGACAGAAATTGCAGTTAATGTCACGTTATGGAGTGTAGAAGTAAAGGAGGACCGTCTCGTATGGGGCATTAGTCGAAAAAGTGTCCACTTGTAAACAGCAAATTATTGTTCGAACTCTCAGCGAAATAGCGCTAGTGTAGCAAGTTCAAATGATATGAACTTAGCAGTTATAAGCAGAGTGAAGTGTGCTGTGTTGAAAAATTTAATATTTCTCTTGACTTCTGTAGTTAAGAAATATGCAGTAGAAATTTAAATTGTTTATAGTGCTAATCTTTGCACTTAAGATTGAACATTAAAATATGTAGAAAAAGTGCCGCGAATGCCGAAGAAGAATGGGTTCGATTCCCACAGCGGCGACAATCTTTTCGCACTTTTTCTAAATATTTTAATAAATATGCAGTATTTAAAATCTCAACTATTTACGTAGTCAATGTTGTTAATATAAAAAGAAAAAATACTACTCCCTACTATACCTACTCTGATAATTTGTGGCGCTCTATTTAAAATTCTTCCACTTGCTACTATAGCGCCACCTTAATTTGCTCCCTTTCAACGGACACTTTTTAATACACTGAGATGGTCCTCCTTGTCGCATGTACATTAAAATCCAAAGATCTTATACTTACAAAGTTAGTAAGTGTAAGGTCTTTGTTAAAATCATCTCCAATAGACGCCATTAATGTAATAAAAAAATAAGTTTACCTACCTAGTGTCGTTACACGTTTAAAGGACAATGGCGAAATCCCATACAATCAAGCCGATGTTAATGATATTATAAAAGTTTTTAGGTCATTTAATCTTAAAATTACAGGGGATTTATGGGGCATGTCCATAAAATTAATGACCTCAATGAAGCCATATATTGCGCCACATTTGGCACACATTTTTAATATCTGTATAGATTCTGGAATATTTCCAGATCTTATGAAATTTAGTAAGGTAATACCCGCCCGTCTTCAAAAATGGGAACAAAAATGATCCAGACAACTATAGACCTATTTCCATATTGCCATCTCTTAGTAAAGTTTTTGGAAAGCTAATATTAAATCAACTTTTAGTTCACTTTAATGTGAACAAAATCTTTCACGATGAGCAATATGGATTCACTAAAGGCAGATCGACATCAGATGTGGGTGTCGCACTGAGTATATATGTCTTATCTATGGTCGCACTTGTCAAACATATTTGTAACGCCTGGGAAAGGTCGCAACCAAAGAGTACTTTTATATTTCTGAAATCTGGTCGCAATATGCAATAGGTGTCTTACGACTTTTCAAAAGCTTTTAACTGTGTAAGACCACAAAACCCTACTTCTACTTCACAAGCTACAGTATTATGGCATTCGTGGCATCGCCCAAACGTAGTGGTTATATTCTCTTTGGCATCGCCCACAATCTCATTGCCTCGTACCTTAGTAATAGAATTAAATAGTATCTGTAAATGAAGGTAAATCCGCTGGGTCCCCTATGATAATGGTGTCCCGAAAGAATCCAACTTGGGCCCATTATTACTATTAGTTAGTGTAACAGTAATTTTAGTATTTTTAAAAACTCGTTTTTTAATAATGCGAAATTATCATTTAGAAAAGTGTGTGACTTCGTAAATATGTATGTATTTTTAACAAAAAAATCTTTTAGTAGCTTTATATCTAACATGTCAACAAAAAAATGGCGGACTTTCATAGTGAAAATAACGAGTTTTAAATATTTTTTTCGCGAAAACTTTGAGCGACCAGATAATTCTACTTGTTGTTTATTTCATTAGTGATTTTTCTTAATGGAATAAAAATTTTTGGTAGGTGGAAAAGCACACGGCGCTTGGAAAATTTTACTCGGAACCTGTAGCCATTTGCATGTCAGTCAGAGCATTACCGCGCAATGGGACCTCTACAGGCACGTAAATTCGCAGACGGTCGTTCAGGTCGTCACATTCTGTCGCCAGAGGATGGATAGATTCCGCATTTCAAGTGTGCACACGAGCTTAACATCACGTAGCGGCTTTCTTCAATTTGCTGTAAATGGGCCCTCTGTTTTTATGGGCACACTATGCGATTGTCAAGGCACAGTCTCGAAAAACAGATCATTATACTCCATATGAACGGCAGACGTACTCAAAACGGATGGGCTGACACAATGAAGTACGCAGTGGGCGGCAGCATGTAACGCACAACTCACACCGCCTACCTGTTATATATTATTATTGTATACTTTAGAGCTGATGCATTCTACTGCTCTATAAAGGAGATGTGTATAGCATATTGGTAGTCCATAAGCACATCAGATGGAAGCTAATGCGAGAACAGTCTTAAGTTAGTCCCAATCAAGTCTCCAGCCCGTTAATACTTATTTCAAATTCTATTTTGTGTAATAAAACCAGTGTAATAATAATCCCTTATAACAGACCGCGTGCGGTGGAGGACAACAACATATGGTCATGATTCTCAGAATTGAGGGACCGAGCAAGATGAAGAATTCAGAAGTTCCAACAGAAACGAAAACTCAAGAAAAAAACAGTCTGGATCAGAGTTAAAAATGAAATACTACAATTAACTATAATAAATTGCTTCTTTCAGACCATTTATTAAATTTTCTTGAATCTATGTAAACACATTTGTACTCCAACGAACCTATTCTTCTTTTCCTTTTGCATGACTAATCACTATTAGTCTGAGGTGGTGTAGTATGAATGCGTATTCCATGCATTTCTGCTATCTCACTTTTTAATGACTCCGTTACTAAACGATGCTGCTTTACTCTTGGTAATCCAACAAATTCTTTGGCTTCGATACTAATCTAAAACAAATAGATTACTGATAAGTTAATTCCAATTTATGAATAAATTTAAAAATATAAACTAAAGATTCATATCAATATAAGACATATTACGAGTAGAATCTGTCAATTGTTGTACTGCCTGTTGAATGTATGGAAGATGAAATACAAATAGAGACTGAATACAAAGGTACCGACATAAAAACCTCTATGAAAATATATATAAATATCTATTTTGATACAAACAGAAAATATACTTAACAACTGACTTTTTATTGCCTTTTCTTTTATAAATTTGTAACCCACTTAAATATCACAACACAAAAATAAATCAAATCATTTATTCATCGAAATATGAAATATCCATTTCATCTATAGATAGTAATTTTTTAAATATACCATGTTTCGTAATGACATTTCTCTAATGGAGAAGAAAGGGGCTTCTTTTTTGTCATTTTGTATCTCAAAAAATTACATTGTTATACAGTATATAATTTTTTTTTAAGAAACAGCTTAGGAGCGATCATCTCATTCCCAGGGGTTGTGTATTCATTTATATTGTAATAACCCTTTTTAAAAAGTTTTTCTTTAATAAATTTCATAAACAAGTTAATAGACAGGCTATGCGCATTAACTTTTGGATTTTGGTGTAGAAGCTTATAAACTGTCCCATGAATGAGTTGCTTACTCTGTGGTCTAGTAACTGGTGTTACAAGCTTGTGTTTATTCCTACTAACTTTGACTAATTGATTCATCAAAGAGAATACTATTAGAACACCAAACAATTTCAAGATACCTCAAACATTGCACCACAGCCACCAGAAATATCTTGAACACTAATGTAAGTGATTCCAGGTAGTGAACGTTTCAATACTTCTGTAAGCTGTTGCTCCTTGGTAACAGATTTTTGTTCAAAAGCACCGCCACCACCAACAGCATGTGTCTATTTGCAGTAATTTAAACAATATTTAAAGTAGTTCATTTTCATAATAAGTGTTTAAGTGACACTATTGATTCAAAATAACCTTTTACATTTTTTTGCTAAACTAGTTCTTCCTTTCACCTAAATTAAATATTCAATGTCCATACCTCAACATTAAGTCAGTACTCAAGAGAGGCCAAGTCATGAGCCAAATGAGCAAGTGATCACTTGTTTTTAAGAGATTACCAGTGTCCCTTGACATCTACAACACTTGGGGAGTTGCACATTCATTGCCACCCTTTAAAAAGTGGGCCCCAGTTATATCACTCACCAGACATGATGCAAAACAATAATAATCAAACTTTACACTGGTTTTCTCTCAGGCTTTTGTACTTCTTGTATGTACGGATGCTGCTGCGTTAATTTCTTGTTAAAATATAGATTGTATAGTAACAGAACATATATTTTGGTGTATCTTTCTAGTTTAAGGCATCATATTCAATGTAAAAATTTATTCTTTTAATAAATTCAATTATTATTACACTAGACTAATGACTATTCTAATGACTTAGAAACACTTACCCTAGTACTAATAAGAGGACGTAAACTTCGTATAAAATTTCGCATCATTTTGACTACGTTTATTGCTTAAAATCTGAGAAATAACAATGTTTGAGCAACATTTCAAAATATTAAAAGTATAAACTTAAATGAAGTTTGAGTACTTCTTAATATGTATCGTCTTTTATTTTTTGTTATTTTATGTAATATAACCTACAATTAATTTGTCAAACATCAAATCATCAAAATCAAACCTGACATAATAGTGACAGTACCTGGAGCTTGGAGGACCGAGCTTTGCTCCTATCTCATCTTACCGACGTAATAATAAGAAAATATGAACTGGTGTTTATCACAAAAGAAAGAACTTTAAAGAAAAGGGAAAAAAGAACAAAATCATCTGAATCGACAAAAATAATAAATATAGAAAGCATTGATGTGGAATCGAAAAAAAGTAAAAAAAAAGTACTTAGTGTGTAAATGATCGTTACACAAACCACGGACTTCTGTTTCGTGGCCGCCCGATTACCGACCGGCTATTATAACATTTTTTTTGCATCGAAATTTACCGTCATATTCGAATGATATTTTTCATTCCCTGAAAACAGGGATAAAAGGACATTTTCTAAAAATGAAACCTAGCTAGATCGATTTTTCGCCCCCAAATCTACGCACATACTAAATTTCATGAAAATCGCTGTAACCGTTTCCGAGATTCGGATTATATATATTTATACAAGAATTGCTCGTTTAAAGGATAACATAACAATTTTTTTTTCCTTTCTTATAGTCAGTCTTTCGACCATACCGCCTAGTCTTTCGTAGAATTTAACCTCTACTGACTCGCTATGACCACTTTGGCGGATGAAACGAATCTGGTTGTAAACACTTGCATTGGCGAACATGCCAATATGTCCAAACGTGGAAGGCGGTCCAGGAGTGTCGCCGCCTCGAATGATATCGTGCGATATCCTCGAACAATCCGTATGGCTATCCTTCGTTGGACGCTGTAAATTTTAGTTCTACAGCGTCTAATGGCCAGCTTTTGAGCCCAAACTGGTGCGCCGTACAAAGCCACGGATCGTACAACTCCTGCATAGAGGCGGCGTACTTCCTCTCTTGGGCCCCCGAGTTTGGCTAGCAGTCTGTGCATTGCACCCGCTACTCTCTCGATCCGGGGGACTAGGCGCTCAAAGTGTTCTTCAAAACCCCAGCGACTGTCCAGGATAAGGCCAAGGTACTTCATATACCGCCCCACTCTTACTTCAGATCCACTCACATGGATATACGAGTTAGGTGGTTCCGTGTTTCGTGACATTATATGAAACCATAGCGCTTCGGTCTTGTGAGGTGCTATCTTTAATCCTAACTCGTGTATCTTATCAATGACGATTTGAACGCCAAGCTCAGCTAGCTCTTTAGTCTTCTCGAAATTTTCCCCGCTAGCAACTACTAGCGTGTCATCCGCATAGCAGACGACGTCGACGCTGGCGGGAAGCTCTATACGCAGAGCCGCATCATATGTAATGTTCCACTGAGCCCTGTGGGACCCCACAGTACATCTCCCTCCTGATTCTTGTACCTTTTTGGTGTGTGTACAGAACGTACCTGTCGTGCAAATAATCTGCGACAATACTTTGGAGGTATTGTGGCACATTGTGTGTCACTAACCCTTCGAGAATAGCGCCCCATGGTAGAGAGTTGAAAGCATTTACGATATCAAGACTAATCTCCAACGCCACCCTACCCTGGGACACAGCTTGGTCCGATAAGAAGCAAACGCGCATGATGGCGTCGATAGTTGAACGCTTCTTTCGGAAACCAAACTGGTTTTCGGAGATATCGGGACAGACTTGCGAAAGATGTTCATTGAGGCGGGAGGAAATGATTCTTTCAAAAATCTTGCCAACTTCGTCTGACAGACAGATCTGACGGAACGTGGAGGGAGAATTTGCTACTCTACCTTCCTTCTTCAAGAGGATCAGTTTAGCCTCCTTCCAGGGCTTGGGGAACGTGAAGTTATATAGACATCTGGAGAACAACCGCCTTAACCTTTCACCCAATATGGATAGGCTCAGCACCCAAGCCCTAGCCGGTATTTCATCAGGCCCTGGTGCAGTGTTTCGGGCTCTTAATCGGCTAACCGCTCTGCTCATCTCCAGTTCTGTCACTCCTATATTCTCTTGCCACTCTTGTACCGACGTTGGAGTTTGTTTAGAGGGATATCTGAGAAACCGGTTATCTGGGAAGAGTGAACTAACCACTCTTTCCAAGAGATTCGAGTCCAGAGTTTCCGTCACCGGGGGCATCCAGGGGCTGAGTTTTCCTAGCACCAGCTTATAAGGCCGCCCCATAGAGTGCAGACATGCCCTAGTCTAAGTCTGCAGACAATCGAGGTGGCATGCTTATTAGCTTTAGGAAAATTAAAGAACCATGGTTTGGTTGGAATATCTGGTTGGATTGATGCATAGTGTTTCCCTCTCTCTCTACTAGATTTCTTCCAGAGCTCATACCAAACACAGTTTGATCTGATTTTAGCATATGATAATAAATCATGAGAGAAACAAGTATATTGGGATAGGGAGCCAGTTTTAATTGCTTCCTTGGCACAATGGTCAGCAATTTCATTTCCGTGAGTATCACTGTGCCCAGGAATCCAAGCTAGAGAATTCAATATTCCTTTCATATTACACCTGTTATGAGCGGCTCTATAGACTCGTGGGTATTACTTTGGCAATTTACTGAATTTGACTTTGACAGTTATGACGGTCATGAATAAATTAAAAAAAAAATACTTTGACAGTGACGCTTCATTGACATATAGTTTGACAGTTAAATATTTGTTTCATGTTGGATTTCATTTTTTGAAAAGATTGAAGCACGTGGTAGCCATACTCAGTTTAGTTAATATTATAAATTACATTCATCACTAATTACCGTAATAAAACTATGTTGAATGAACAATGCCTCCATTTAAAACTGGTTTATTAAAAAGAAAAATTAATGACGAATCTAAGGACACAGAACGCAAAGTGAGCGAAATTAGTTCAGTGTTTTATATACTTTTTTCTATTTATATAACGTTTAATGATATCTTTGCAGAACAGTAGCCATTCTATTGACGAGAATGTAGATTTAATCCGCGGTGATTTGGATGATGAACAAGATTCGGCCGACTCGGAGAATATGATGATAATGTCGCTTCTGATACTGAGCGAGATGTAAGTATTTTGTTATATTTACTATGTAGAATACGTATTAAGGTAAAAATTCCGAACAGTACGTGTCGTTTTTCAAGCTAGAAAAAATTTTTAATGGATAGAGAAATGTTAATAATTAAATATTACATACATGAAAACCAAGGCAAACACTTTTAATAAAAAAAAAAATATTTAAAACTTTTTATTTTCACTAAACAAATCCGCCATTTTGTGTTTCACAACATGTATAAATTTACGAATTCACACACTTTTCTTTTTTTTCTTTGGACAATCTTTATTGATCTAATATTTACATAAAAAAAATTACATATTATTAATAAACCTAATCCACGCGGCATGGTGCCAAGAACGCTAGCTGCATTTCCTCGCTGAATAGTTAATGCTCACCTTTGCGCGAAAAAGAATCTCTTGTCACCAGCCGCGGCGTTTTGTTTAAAAAAATTTGATGTGCGGGGACCCCACGGACCTAATGTTTCAACAGCAAATGGCACAAATACATAATCTGAACATAAAGACTCATATTTTCCAAATGATAACCTTCGCATTATTAAAAAAGAGTCTTTAAAAATACTAAAAGTACTGTTACACTAAAGTTTTCTGGGTGGTCATAAAAAAAGAACCTAACAACGAAGGCTAAGCTTCTAACCTAACCTATCCGAGTCGGATCGCTCTGTGTCGGATCTGTGACTCATTTTGAACCTAATATTCGAGACATTAAGTGTCATAAGTCACAAATTTTAAATTTTAGAAATCGTTAATAATACATGTTCATGAAGTAGAAACTTGTGTTTTTGTGATATATCTGTGTATTTGTGTCTTCTTACAACGTAAAAAGTGAAAACGTAAGTTTTTAACTTAAAATAATAGTCTATAATTAATAATGGACGCACAGTAATGACGGATTTCAGTTGTATGAAATTTAAAAACTTTGTTAATTTTTTCCTCATATTCTAGTGGTTTTCATTGTACATAACTTATATAATATTTAGTTATTAACATTTCTCTATAGATTAAAATTTTTTTCTAGCTTGAAAAACGAGACGTACTATTCGGAATATTAGCCCGTATTAATTGAAAATACGGTATTTGTTCAGCAGATGAATGATAGAGAAGAATCACTAATTAATTAATTAATATTAGAGAAAGACCTGAATGGTCAATTGGTTGTTGTACTTAATCATTCAGGTCTAAGGGTAATAGGAATCCATTGACGTCCATTGATTTGGGGGAGGGGGTGAGAGGAGGGGTATTACTTTAGTAGATTAACTTAAGTAACATTTCTCTTATCATTTAAAAATATATATTTGGAAAAAAAAATAGTACACAGTTTATAGAAATATACCATTTATGGTGGATATTAGAATTCAAATTCAAATCATTTATTCATTGAAATAAGAAAGATAAATTTTATTTATCGATAACCAATTTCGTAATTAGGTTCCTCTAACGGAGAAGAAACAGGTGAAAGAAACTCTGTAGGTATCCTCTTTTTGTCATTTTTTTTTCAACAATTACATTGTTATACAATACATATTTCTCTTTAGAAACAACTTAGGAGCGATCATCTCATTCCCAGGGCTTATTATCATTAATGTATTTATTTATATTATAATAACCCTTTTTAAAGTTTTTCTTTAATAAATTTCTTAAACCTGTTAATAGATATATGTAGGATACAATTTATATAGCAACAAAATACAAAGATATAATTGAAGTAAAGAAAGTCATGGTTATATTAGCTTATCTGGAAAGATAAGTATCTTTTCTATCGTTCACTCGCAAGCTACATAACTTGACTGCAACTAGCATGCTAGCGTATTCATTCATCACCAATGCATTCTCTATTATGACCACATATGACGTAAAAAAGAATCACAGAACTATGGTAAGGTAATGTATAGATATGACTAAGTGGTATATTGGATCAGAAGTATGATCATATATGTGATGAAACATATATGATAATGGTATTACATTATCCTTATAATTATATAAATTGTTTAAAAACTGTTTTTGTGGAATTATTACTAAAAAATAATAAGTTTAATTTTTTCTTTTTAGGAAGTTCTATTCAATGACAGTGATAACTCATATTCAATCGATGATGGGAATGAATCTGTTGAAGAATCATCTGTAAGTATTCTCTACAATTGTTGTGTCAGTACCATAAACATAATACAAAACAATAATTATATTGATACCAATGTATTATTTTTTATAACTTGATAGTTATCAAAAATAATTGGTTGTAACAATGAAAGAGAAAATTTATTCTCACATACTTTATTGACTCTACAAAACTTAATACTATGGCTATAGCTATTAGTCTATATGACCTATTGTTATAATATATATAAGATATCACAAGTTTACAACATATATATTGTTATATATAACAATGATATATGTTGTACACTTGTGATATCTACATTACTTAATATTACAAAAAGTTACATAAAAATAGGTGTCCATGTCCTTTACTTGAAAAGTAATCTACTAATAAGGTACACTTAGCTAAAATCCATATTATCACATTCATAAATAAAAATTTTGTTTCATTAATAAAAATTTTGCTTGGCTATTTTAGTTATGTTTAAAAAAAAATGTTTACATGTAAGGTGATTGAAATTTTAGGGTTCCATACTCAGAGGCCAAAACGGGACCCTATTACTAAGAATCCGCTGTCTGTCTGTCTGTCAATAAGCTGTATCTAATGCATTGTGAAAGTTAGACAGATGAAATTGTCACAGATGATGTACTTCTGTAACAGCAATAACAACAAATAAAAAAATATTTAAGTGGGGCTCCCATACAACAGACATGATTTTTTTGCCGTTTATATAGATAATGGTACTAAATCCTTCATGTGCGAGTCAGTTTCGCACTTGGCCGGTTTTTATGTTTGTTCATATGCAAAACTTCTAACTTTGTTATTAATGAATTGGTTTGTTTTGATTATTTCCATCTACCCCTGCTTGTTTTAATAATCCTAAAAGCTACTATTATATTATGTATGTGTAATGTCACTAATTTGCAAAAATACCTTTTACAGGAGCTTTCTGATTCTGAGGCTGAGTCGGATGCTATCAGTAGTCCAGGTGAAGAAGAAAGTGAAAATGATAAATTAAAAGAAGTTACTAAATCAAGAATCAGTAGTAAATCAGAAAATGATGACAGCGGAGCAGAGTCTGGGTCTGGTCAATTGATGCCTGGATCTGGTGATGAGCTCGCAGAAAAAAAAAGTGTGGAGAAACCAGTGAAGACGAAAGATTTTGCACAAAAATTAAATAAGAATAAAAAAAATCAAAAAAATGTGGACAATGTGGATGCATTAGTTGAAGAAATCAAAAGTAATGTTACAATACAACCAGTGCAAGAAAAGGGTGTGTATATAAATATTTTATTGTATGTATTTTGTGAATCCTGTTGAAGTAAATAATTAGTACACATAATCGGTATGCTTTCAACTGAGACTTCCTGTATCTTGCTCACACTTCTGAGTCTTATGTATCCGCATAGTGATGGGCGTAAGATGAATAAAAGCGCATATCGATAAGGGAAATAATAATAATATAAATACATAGTAGATAGTATTTTGGTCACCACATTGAGTCATTGACTACTCATGCCCAGATAGCGAATTATCGATAACATATTCGACGATAATGCATATTCCTATCCCTATTTACGTTTATGGCCCGCGCCGACTATAGAACAAATATCAAGAAGCATAATAACATTATCATTCCTTTAAATATGTGTGTGTATGTGTATTTGTTTGTATTCTCTGTATATAACGTATATAACAGTGTACAGACTCTGTTGTGGCAGAATATTCTGTAACACTATTAATGAAACTCTATTCTCTAAACATTATCTTTAACAATTATTTATTTTTATTTTATTAAACAAACATTTTTTATTAGTATGAATGAATATATTGCTAAGGACCAAGAATTAGGTAATAGTGTTGTTAGGTGGATTGCTGACGGTATTGGGTGTGGTTTAGCACATTTTGAATGTGGGGGCTGCGCAGATGAGTACGAGTCGGGCGACACGTCGGACGAGGAGGAGCGCGTGAACACGGCGGGGGCCGTGCCTGCGCGCTGGTACGACGAGTACGAGCACGTGGGCTACGACGTGGAGGGGCGCCGCATCCGCCGCGCGCCGCGCGCCGACGCCATCGACGCCTTCCTCAGGTCTGTCTGTTTCTGCTTTTAAGAATAATCTCAGTGTCTTGAGCGATTTCACAAACATGGAAACTTCAAGCGACAATTTTCTCTGAAACAAAGTTATGCAGCTCACAATATTTATGTTGGGATTGATGAACACATTAATAAAGAGTGCAATTTTTGCAGGAAATGTGAGGATCCAGATTTTTGGCGCACGGTACGGGATCCATCCACAGGGCAAGAAATCATACTTTCAAAGCGAGATCTCGAGCTGATCGCTAGGATACGAGAAGGTCGAGTGCCCAACGCTGATCATGATGAGTATCAGGCAAGTGACGGAACGCGGAGATTTCGATGTGTTTATTATGTTTTTGTGTCTAAGGAGGTGTTTGAATGAAATATTTATTTTGGATCATTCGGCGGAATTCGCAGCCGTGGGTGGAGTGGTTCAGTCGCGAGGTGCTGGCGACCCCGCTGCGGGCCTTCCCCGAGCACAAGCGCTCGTTCGTGCCGTCGCGGGAGGAGCAGCGCCACGTGGCGCGCATAGTGCACGCGCTCAAGATGGGCTGGACCAAGAGCAGGAGGCAGCTGGCCGAGGAGCGCAGGAGGCGCCGGGAGCGCAGCTTCTACGACCTGTGGGGCGCGGCGGGGGCCGGGGCGGGGGCCGGGGCGGAGGCGGAGGGGGCGCGCCGCCTGCCGCGCCACGTGCCGGCGCCGCGCAGGCCTCCGCCCGGCCACGCCGAGAGCTACAACCCGCCGCCCGAGTACCTGCTCGACGCCAAGGAGGTCCGCCTTCGCCCGCTGCGGCTCTCGAGGGCCCGCGGGGCGTCGCTCAGACGGCGGTGCGCGTGTTGCAGATGAAGGAGTGGAGGAAGCTGGAGGCGACGCCGTGGAAGCGCAAGTACACGTTCCTGCCGCAGCGGCACGAGAGCCTGCGCGCGGTGGGCGCCTACGAGCGGTTCGCGCGCGAGCGCTTTCTGCGCTGCCTCGACCTGTACCTGGCGCCGCGCGCCCTCAAGATGCGGCTCACGCTGCGCCCCGAGCAGCTGGTGCCGCAGCTGCCGGCGCCGCGCGACCTGCAGCCCTTCCCCACGGCCGAGGTGCTGCAGCTGCGCGGCCACGCCGACCTGGTGCGCTCCGCCGACTTCGACCCCTCGGGCCAGTACGCCGTCTCGGGCAGCGACGACGGCACCGTCAAGGGTGCGTGCGCCTCACACTTGCGTCCGTACGACGTACGCCACCCGCTCACGGCCCGTCCGTTGCACGCAGTGTGGGAGACGAGCTCGGGGCGCTGCCTGCGCACGCTGGAGCTGGGCGAGCCGGTGCGCCGCGTGGCCTGGACGCCGGCGGCGGGCCTGAGCCTGGTGGCGGCCGCGGTGGGGCAACGTCTGCTGCTGCTCAACCCGGGCGCCGCGGCGGGCGCGCGCCGCACGGCCGCCGCCACCGACGCGCTGCTGGCCGACGCGCCGCCCGCCTCGGACGAGCGCAGTGCGTACCGCCCCTACGCCCCTTCCACTTGCAACACCCGCCGCTCACGAACCGCCCCCCCGCAGTGGACGAGCGCACGGCCGCCTGCGTGCAGTGGCAGCCGGCGGACGCGGCGCAGTGGGCGCGCGGCGTGCGCCTCTCCGTCGCGCACTTCAGGCCGGTGCAGCACGTGCGTGTCCCGAATAACAATATGCCGAACGAATGAAATGACTACTGAATGATTATTTCTTAATTATACAGCGTGTCGTTACCATCGCGACAATAAATGAACACACATATAGGGGATAAGTTTTTAAAGTTGTATTAAACATTTAAATTCTTTAAACATCAATATTTACAGAGTTATTAAATTTTCCAAAACAAACAATTTTAGTACACCCTTACCTATAAAAGCGTAACGTAAAGTTCATTTGTAAAGGTCACAAAGCATAGGAATGGGTTGAATGAATTTAAAAGAGACAAAACATACTGTTAGAAGGAGAAGCTTGTAATGCGACGCTATGGCGCGAGTTGTATAGGGTGTTACAAATTTTGTTTCTTTTTTACTTAATTAGTTTGTTTTTTTTTTTTTAATTATGGATTTTGTTTAACATTAATATTTTTTTATGATTATTGGCAAGTAGCGTTAAACATGTGTTCATTTATTGTCGCGATGGTAACGACATGCTGTATACAAGATACAACTGTTCAAGAGTAAGTGAACATTTTTTTTCGTTATTTTTGTTAAATACAATGTTATATACTTCAGAATTAAAGGAAATTAATCAAAAGACTTCTTATCGGCCATATTGAAAGCCAATTGTCATTAAGAACAATGAAAGTAAAATAAACTAGCCTTTTGAAAGCTGTAAACAATTAGGCAATTTAAGTTTATGTTCTATCTATTTAAAGAATTATTAGAATTAAGAACAACATTCCAAGTGCGTATTTTTAGCGGTATCTTCGCTCTACAGGGAGGAGACAGAGAGGAGGATTTTCTAAGTGTATCCATTTTTTAAAATTAAATTCTAGCCATAAATAATGAATTATAAAAAATGATAAATATTTTAAATCACTCGTAAGTCATTAATTACATTCATTTGAACTTATCTCAAAAAGTGCGTGATTTATACGCAACTCGTTTATTTTACGCGCGATCATTCATAACTAACACGCACACAAGTTCGTTTCAAAAGTATAGGACGCATAAATGTCGACACCTATCTATCTACATTGTGACACGCACACAACTAAAGTTTGTAGTGGTACACGCGTATCATAGTACAAGTTTATGATTCCAATTTTCCTTCATATTTAGAACGGGCTTAGCCGACATAGACCTCCATAATAAAGGGTCGTCATAATATTAAAATACTACTTTATTATTTTAAAATCACACACTATTGTTCGTACTTATTATGGCGTATATAAAACGTGGAATCAACTATTTACAACAAGTAAACTTACCTATTCATTTAATCACAAAAAAACACTCACTGATATTTTAACAATTGTTCAATATTGAGTCCATTTCTCTCAACACAAAGCTGAGCACGCTTTCTCAAACTATTTTTTAACATTACTTGTGTCTGAGCATTGTATACGCCGGTGTAGTAAATTATCCAAAATGTAAAAATAACTTTTGGTTGGCTGCCAAAATCGTCCTTCGATTCGGTACACTTGAGTTCATTGCCTGTCTTTTTAAACGCGATAAAGAGTTACTTTCATAAAGTCTTTGTGCACCACGTAAACTTTCACCACTTAAAATGTGGCACCAGACCATCTCATAATACTCGAGGTTCTAATAACTGCGTTGTTGTTTCGACATCGTTAGAGATACGGTGGTAGGGCCACGCAGCAGCCTCGGCTGTTGCACGAATGGGCAGGCCCGTCCGGGTAAGTACCACGACCTCACAGAAGACCGGCGTAAAGTGGAAGTGCGTTTCGTCTGGTGAGCGAGGTAGCCGGAGCCCAATTTTCAAAAGGTTGTCAACGCATCTGTAACCCTCGAGTGTAGCAGATGTCCATGGGCGGCGGTATTCACTTAACATCAGGTGAACCGTCTGCTCGTTTGACAACTTTTCGCATAAAAAAAAAAAAAGATAAGCAAATCTATAAATAGCACGCGCGACCCAAATTAAGTCACGGTCAAATTGGAACTAACGAAGGGCAGCGGCTACATAGAGCGGTCACCGCTGGAGGGGAAGAGAACGAAGAGAATGCTTTGAACCGCCGTCGGCGTTCAAAGCGCTTAGTTTTGTTTCTGTGAGTGCAAAGTAAAGTTTAGGTATTTGTGAATGACTACCGCATTGTCAACAAGTTCTGTTTTTTTAGGGAACAGACAATTTGACACGGCAATTTTTTTGAAAAAAAAAAGTGTTTTTATTTCAATAAACGATTGTACTACCGAATCTGAACCTCCTGTGTAAATTTGGGCACTTTTCAAAAAGACTCCCTGTATAGAATTACATATGGCCTGGCAGAAAATCTATCTTACTCTTTTATTCGGAGGTTTTTCGTATTTTTTTAATTTTCTAGAAGCCAATTTGGCTTTCCTCTGTAAGTGTTCCGCCCCTTGGCGCGCAGGTGTCGTGGCACGCGCGCGGCGACTACCTGGCCGCCACGCTGGAGGAGGGCGCGGCGCGCAGCGTGCTGGTGCACCAGCTGTCGCGGCGCCGCAGCCAGCTGCCCTTCCGCCGCGCGCCCGGCCGCGTGCAGTGCGTCGCCTTCCACCCGCAGCGCCCGCTGCTCTTCGTGGCCGTGAGTGCCCCTCTCCCCTCCGCCGCCCCTCCGCCCCCCCGCCGCCCCCGCGCCGCCCCCGCCGACCCACCGCTCGCCCCTCGCCCGCAGACGCAGCGCGCCGTGCGCGTCTACGACCTGGTGAAGCAGGAGCTGGTGCGCAAGCTGCTCACCGGCGCGCAGTGGATCAGCGCGCTGGCGCTGCACCCGGCCGGCGACAACCTGCTCGTGGCGTCCTACGACCGCAAGTGCATGTGGTGAGTGCGCGGCCCTCGCTCGGAGGTAGCCGCGGTGGGCCCGTGGGTGGCACTGAAGCCACGGCTGCGCAGGTTCGACCTGGAGCTGTCGTCGAAGCCGTACCAGACGCTGCGGCTGCACGGGGGCGCCGTGCGCGCCGTGGCCTTCCACCGCCGCTACCCACTGTTCGCGTCGGCCGGCGACGACCGCCACATCGTGGTCTCGCACGGCATGGTCTACAAGTGAGTGCCGCTCCCTCCACACCTCCGCCCCCCTCACCGTACTGACGTACTGACGACAGCCCTCCCCGCCGCAGCGACCTGCTGCAGAACCCGCTGCTGGTGCCGCTGAAGCAGCTGCGCGCGCCCGAGCCGCGCCAGCAGCTGAGCGTGCTGGACGTGCGCTTCCACCCCACGCAGCCGTGGCTGCTGGCCGCCGCCGCGGACGGCACGCTGCGCCTCTACGCCTAGCCACGTCTAGCCACGTCTAGCCACGTCTAGCCACGTCTAGCCACCAATAAAACTTACCGACCGAACTTCGCCTCTTTTATTCTCCCCGACTCTCTTGGGCGTTTCGATTATCTTCTTTGCTGCTTACCGTTCATTTTTATACCTACTACTTTATTATAGTACAGTTGTCTTTACCATTTTAATATACAATCTGCTTAGACTATACCTATTTAACTGCAGTACCACAACAACCAACCAAGAACCACAAAAAAGAGACTATAATCGCCAAGACACAACTTAGATGTCTTCTAATACTGGTATTTAATTCCCAATACTATATCTTTAAAAATCAAATCAGGTTGTACAAACAATGTCAGCTTTGAGTAAATATACAGAGTGTCGTTACCACCGCGACAATAAATGAACACACACATATAGAGGATAACTTTTAAAATTGTATTAAACATTTACATTCTTTAAACATCAATATTTGCAGAGTTATTAAATTTTCCAAAACAAACAATTTTAGAACACCCTTACGTATAAAACTGTAACGTAAAGTTCATTTGTAAAGGTCAAAAGCATACGAATGTGTTGAATGAATTTAAAAGAGACAAAACATACTGTTAGAAGGAGAAGCTTGTAATGCGACGCTGTGGCGTGAGTTGTATAGGATGTTACAATTTTTTTTCCTTTTTGACTTAATTAGTTTGTTTGAAAAAAATTTTTTTAATTATGGATTTTGTTTAATGTTAATATTTTTTTATGATTATTGGCAAGTAGCGTTAGACGTGTGTTCATTTATTGTCGCGATGGTAACGACACGCTGTATATGATAGTTGATTTAGGGTTAGGGTAAGATCACTCTCATGTCCGGCTGCTTTCCGCCCCGGCTTCGCACGGGTGCAATGTATTTTATATATCTAAACCTTCCCCTTGAGTGATCACTGACGGTCACTCTATCTAGTGAAAAAAATCGCATCAAGATCCGTTGGGTAGTATAACACAGTATTAATTCACATTTCATTAATTACATTCATTTATAGGCATTTTGGTCAGCCAAAACAGTGATGCATCAAATATTAATCATGGCCCTAAACTGTGTTGGATCCTAAAAAAAGCCCAATTTCCATATTTCACCCTAAAGGGGCTAAAAGCCCTACTTACGTTGGCACGCCTGCTTAGAATTCGTAAATGTCAAAAAGTTGTTGTTGGTTGCCATGGTAATACTATGAAGTTGGTCGAAGTTTGCTTTGCAACCATTTTCATCATGGCGCTGTCGGTGTGGGCGCGCATCGCAGACTTGCCAACTTAGCCCGTACTTATTGGGCTTTTTAGGGCACAAAAAAGTTTAGGGCCATGAATAACATCTCATACATCACTATTTTGACTAGCGAAAATGAGAAAATAAAATCAAAATGCCTATTAATAAATGTAATTAATGAAATTTTAGTTAATACTAAGTGGCTTTATTAATTATTTTAAATATGTTTAATGAAAAGTAGTTAATACTAAGTTATATTTATTTACTTTAACATAATTTGAAACTCTTTTAAACAATAATTTTGATTACAATATAGGGATTTTTATTTGGGGCATTGGATATTTCATTCTTGATTTTAGGGCCATTTTTCTAAATTATTTGCCAGCACTGGCGCATCGTATAAATTTTACCCTCTTTTTTTTCAAATGCGCCTAAATAAATAAAACTTCAACTAATATGTTTTTGGCTGTAGTGTAACTTTCAAGCACTTTTCCCCTGTAATAATTTAGAAAATATGAAAATGTAACCCAAAATTAATAGATGTTTTTTGTCTGAGACAATTGCATGTGCCTAATGCATTTTGTAAGAGTACTTCTTTGATTATATACTTGTCAAGTAGATCAAAGTTAAACTAAATGTTTAAAATCACTAAAATGAACCACAGACCATCATGACATAGTGTCAAGTCAATATTCTCTCTCTCTGTGTTTGTGATTCATTCCCGCGATCCGCGATCGCCGATGTTGATCCGTTAACCGCTTGTCTTAGTTCGGCGTTCAGTTTCCAAACGAATCGTACGTTGTATTTCGTTTAGTGAATTGTTTGCCGTTGTGATGCACACTGTTACTTGTTTATGTTACGTTTATAAGTTAATAAAGTACGCTCGCAAACTTTACGGCTTATAGATTCTGTTTTGGTGCTGCGTGGATAGGTTCAGTTAAAATCTATATTGTGGTGAAGATAGCTTTATATTTGGATTCCTTTATGAAATGGTCGTTAGTTTTGTTTTGGACTGGTACTGTATTGAGGATCAAATAAGTCCTGAAAACCAAAATTTTGTGCGAGTCAAAGATTTCCTTAAATTCTTTGAAGTTGTGATGTGCTGATTATAAAACATAGTGAATATTTGGTGAGAGCGATGTCGGTGGCAACGACGCCGACGGCGGCGGAAGCTCCGGCTCTGGATGAACGCGACCTGGAGCCTCGAACACCGATGAAACGACTCGGCTCTACTCGAAAGCTCGCCGCTTTCAGCAGTATGTTGGCTCTTTTTCACTTATAGCACCTAGAATTTATTCAGTACCTACTACTTTCTAACGATTGGTAGTTTATAATGTAGTTAAATTTTAAATTCAGAGAATCATTATTAGCATTGCTATATTCTTTATATAGTATAAAAATATAAAAATGCTAATAATTAAGCAAAATTTTATTACCTTTTTAGGATGGTAACTTAAACTGTTCTATTGTTTCATTTTTTTAATTACTTTTTAATGAATTGTAGTCTCAATATTCATATCATAAAAATTCATATCTGTTTCAAATTCTCCTTTTTGATGTAACTGTTAAAATCAAATAATAATAATATCCATTAATAAGTACTAATTATATCACCACATAACTTTTGATTTTAACTTTGATTTTTCCAACCATGGATTACAAATCCAAAATGTTTTGGATTACAATATAGTTTAAAAACGAGAAGTTTTGTGAACACAAAACACTACATTACATCCGTCTGTCTGTCCCCAGGCTGTATCTCATATGCCGTGATAGTTAGACAGTAGAGATTTTCACAGATGATTTATTTCTGTTGCCACCATAACAACAAATACTAAAAAACAGAATAAAAAATTTGGGCTCCCATACAACAAACATATTTTGTGGCGTTTTTAAAATTAATGGTACAAAACCTTTCGTGCGTGAGTCCGACTCGCACTTAGCCGGTTTTTAATAATATGCTATATTTAATGAACCTATTGGTCAAATTTTGTAATTCATTTTAAAAGTATGAAATAATTTCATAAGGCTTAACAGATATTTAGACTCCATACAGATTCTAAATCTCTTAAAGGTTGCCTTAAAAAGTACTAATTGATAGTTTTTAATTTTAAAACAAAAAATATGGACTAGGGCAAAAATATGTTCTATACAAAGGAGGTCCTTTCATGGCAGTGTGATTAGTAATAGATAAGCTGTTACTTTGCTTACCTAGAAAGAGCAAATTAATGTTAAGAAAACAATATTAGGTGCTTTCACCTTATATCAATATTAATTTCATATAAGTACCACTCATTTATTATAAACCAGTATCTTAAATATTAAATCACTAATTGCGTTCTGGTAAATTTCCAGAGTGGAAAAAAGCTTACATATCATGCCTATACATGAAAAAGGTGACAAAATCATAATATCCAATTAATAATAATCATAATCTTTATTTGTAATCAAAACACATCTGCACATTACAATGCACGTGATAAGTCAGCACTTAAAGTTAAAAACTTCATTAGTGCCAGCACTGGGGATCGAACTCAGGTTGCTCGAGTATATTGAGTTAAAGGCGAGCACCCGGACCCTGAGCTATCACGGCTCTAAAAAGTGACAGACAAAATATTAAAAAGTGACAGATATATTAGGACTACAATACAAATGTTTCTAAATTTTAGACCTATCTCTATTCTTTCCTGTTTTTCAAAACAGTTTGTATCTGTACAAATTACGTGTCATATTGATGCCATCACTGATGACTGAAACCAACTTAATCTCATTTATTTCGCATGTTTCATGAGAGGTTGATGAAGGGTCACAGGATTTTTTAACAAGCAATTGTTGTTTTTTTAACAAATATTGAATATTGTTAAAAAAATATGCACAGACACTAAGATTTCTCAAAAGAAACACTAAAGGGTTTGAAACCAAAATCATAAACATGCTAGTATGGAGTCAGAAACCATAAGTTCTATGTGGAATCCATTATGTGCGGTACATTCGCAGAGAATTGAAAAAATTCAAAGCGCTTTCATGAAACATTGCTTGAAAAACTAACTGAATATCATCCTGTATAAATAGCAACTTATTTTTTTTTAACATGGTAGCATTAAAGGATCGAAGAACCATTCATGACCTCTTAATGGTACATAAAATTAAAGATGATTATACTTCATGCAGTGAACTATTCATCATCCGTTAATCATTTATCCGTTCTTGTTCTTCTTGTTCATTCTTGTACTTAGTTGGAACAGTGCTGTGTCAGCGAATAAGATACAACCATCAGAATTTTATGTATATCTTTTTATTTAAATGTGGAATGTTGCATATATTACTACTGCTGGTGTCCTCAATAAAAATAAATTTCAGTTAAATCATTAATAAAACAAAATAGATGCCTTCATACATTCTTTAGCTTCTGGTTTATAATACATATTTATTATGGTACCAGATGAAAATATTATTCCATAGAAATGATAAGCATGCTTCCCTACATACGAGATTTGAAAGTAGATCATGTATAAGAGTTCATTGACACATCTTATGGCTGTTGATTGTAGATAGATGATTAATACGTAACTTTCAATGTGAATTACTATTTCAAATAAAACATATTTTTCATTGTTTTCAATAAAATTGGTCTAGCACTAATGGCCAGCACCTAACTTGGTAACAGGTTGTTGTAGATAATTACAACCATAACAGAACTTATTTTTATCTATCTTCTAAAGGGTGAACACACGGATATGTCAGATTTTTACGCACTTATCTTGTGGTGATCACTCTTTAAGTCCATCAGGCTAGTCTTTGAGATTTTCTAACCCCAAGTATTAAACCTGTTTGTTAAGCTCGGAATATGAACGATATAGAGAGATATCGGATCGCGCATTGCAGTGCGTGCAAGCAAAGTGCGAGTGTGGAATATTCCGCTGCCGGCTTCACGGCTTTAATGTTTGCTCCCGACGCAAGCCGTTCACTTTATGCAGTGATTTATGCATACATTGAAAGCTTGCTACTTTCCTCTGTCCACAATCCTTTGGAAACTGGAGAGCGCGATGTATAATTGCTTTTTTAAGCGGATTTTCAGGGTCAATAATCATTATTGTTTCCCGTACGCGGCAATTAGCCCGTACTGTAAAAACAAAAATCAAATTCGTTTTTAGAGTTCTTTGCCCAAAAAGTGATAACGGACCCTATTACTAAGACTCCGCTGTCTGTCCGTCTGTCCGTCCGTCCGTCCGTCCGTTCGCCTGTCACCAGGCTGTATCTCATGAACCGTGATATTTAGACAGTTGAAATTTTCACAGATGATGTATTTCTGTTGCTGCTATAACAACAAATACTAAAAAACAAAAAAAAATATTTAAGTGGGGCTCCCATAGAACAGACTTGATTTGAAATGATTTTTTGCCATTTTGATAGTTAATGGTACGGAACCCTTAGTGCGCTAGACCGACTTGCCCTTGCCCTTGGCCGGCTTTTTTATCGACATCTACAACACTTGGTGGGCTGAAGACGCCCTGCCAACTTATTTAATTTTTTCTGGGAGGCCGTGGTGTTTCCTCGGACGAGCCAACTGCCGCTGAGCCGTTCGTGCAACAACATAAGGCTGCTGCCTAGCGTAGGACGTCAGTTTTATTATATTTATTAGTCATAGTTCAGAAAGTTTTGTTTTTGCATATTTATATACCACGCCACGATATATGATTTTCTTTTACTTACAATTGCCGCAATGTAAAAAAATATTTTCCCGTATAAAAATGTGTTGTTGAAACAATACGTAGAAAATGCTTATGGCGAGTGAAATAGTCTACGGTATTGCATTAGGCGTAGTGCCAATAGAGGCTGGTACGAAGTGTAGCGTAAGCAAGAGCCGCGCAGGCGACGCGACGTGGGAGACGGAACCGTGGTCGGCGGGTGCGCGCTGCCGCGGCTATTTGTGACCGCCATCTAGGAGTTGGAGGACGAACACTTACCACATTAACTTGTTCGGCGGGAAACTAGCAACTAGCAATTATTAAAATAACAATTTATGCAACGTTATAGAATCCCATTTGCTTTTTTTTAAATCGCGTTCGTGAATTGCAAACTAGGGCGCCAGTGGCTAATTTCGTATTAGATTGTGTTAATCACCCTTGTGAACAGTTTAGTTGATACGCGACGCAGACATAGGCAAGATGTCGGCACGTGGTGGTCGTGAGTTAACGTTTCCGGTGGCGTGGCATTCCTCCGCCACCAACCGCTGCCGATGAATAAATGATCGGGCCGCGGAGGGCAAGGGGCGAGGGGCGCGGGGTGGCGGCGGATCATTGGCTTCTTCCTCCCGGAGCCACGTCTGCGTGGGCTGCTCACTCAGCAGCAGCAAATCTGTTTTAATTGGCTGTTACCGACCCGATGACGTTATTACTCATGTCAAACGGTACATATTTTTCTGCAAACACACCAAATATCACATATATTTTCGCAGATTTTTTGACTAAGACTTAGGATTAATGCCTTAGTTCAAATAGTTTTCCAATTAGAGGGAAAAGAAGAATATGTTAAGTAATATGTCAATTGTGATGTGCACTAGCTCCACGTTGACACGTTGTCAAGACTCGCATAGAGACACCCTGTACATGGCCGGCTTGTCAATGGGGCGCGCGTGAATCTCAGAATAACACCTAGCGACAAACTAATGACAGTAATGGCAGTTATTGCGCGCTTTATATAAGGTGATTTGGATTTTTTTGAAGTTTTTATTTGCCTATTACAATTTTAATGTGAATATTATAAAATTGAGAATTTTAAGAACAACTTGACATTGGCGTAATTGTGATAACTCACAAAGCTTAATCGGTTTTAATATGTCAAATAGAGTGAAAATCTTTCCTCGGTTTCAAACAGTTTTTTCGAGAGATACATAAAGTCAACTTTGAAAATAAAGTTGTAGCAGCAATATAACTAATCTGTCTAAAATTAAACTTTTTTGATAATCTGCTGTATAACTGTGTAGTATATTGATGTGTGCGATCAGTTCATATTTTCGATCCAATTAGTTGGTTGCAAGTGTCGCTCGCTTATTGATTGACCTTGTGTTGATGTGTCTCGCGACTCAATAAGGGTCCACGATGTGTTGAGTCGACGAGCGATACTCAGCCCCAACTCAAATCATATAGATGAAATTTTATGTTATAAAATCGTCAAACATCGAAACATACAATTTGAAAAGCATCTTAAAACAACCCAAAGATCTTATATAAATATAATACAATGTATAAAATAAATAGAACTAAAAATAAATGGAATAAAAATTAAAATGTGTAATACCTATTTGTTATATTTATGAAAATAGTAATAGTAAACTCATTAATTAGTATTTCATGTTGTCATAAATAAATCAATATACCTATTTAGTTTTTTTTTTTGCGTGATAGCTAGAGCCGATAGTAGAGCCGTGATAGCTCAGTGTCCGGGCGCTCGCCTTTAATTCAATATACTCGAGCAACCCGAGTTCGATCCCCGGTGGCGGCACCAATGAAGTTTTTAACTTTAAGTGCTGACTTGTCACGTGCTCCGCGGTGAAGGAAAACATCGTGAGGAAACCTGCATATTTTCGAAATAATAACAAAAAAATATTTCGTAGATATGTGAAGTCCGCCAATCGCAGTGGGGCCGCGTGGTGGACTATGTCCCTGATACCCTCTGTATAGAGGAGGCCTTTGCCCAGCAGTGGGACATGTATAGGCTGTTACTTTACTTTTTACTTTACTACCTATTCAGTTTTTTTTATAAATAATATTGTCTTAAGTGCAAAGTTTCTCTATTTACAAGTCTTTATTTTAATATTTAATGTAAAAACTATCGATTGCAACTCGTTGTTCCTCTGTGCTGATAAATGGGACGTTTATATTAATGAGACCGAATTTCATTTACACCGTATTGTGTACACTAGAACGTATTCTTTGGTAGGATAACAATAATTACCCCTTAATTATGTAGTAATGTACCACATACTGTGTACGAGTAGATAAGATATACGTGGCTTCACCTTGGCGAAATGTCCCAAAAAGGAATTACAATTTTCTTTGTAGTTTTTAATGTGCACACGTCATCGGCATTTGTTCCTTCGGCGTCATACCTAATAGTCTGTTCCGCCGTTCGTAATATGTTAATAATCGGTACAATAGAAGATATAAATAAGTCGTTCGGTCACGTCTGCTTAGCGCTCCATTGTGGCCGATGATAAGGCGTCGTTAGCGAGTGTCAGCTCCATCGCAGCGCGCAATTACTCGTCCGCCGCACGCCGCACGCCGTCTGCATAAAGAACGCGCCGGCGGCGCCCGCTCCGACGCTCTTCACGACTCGGAAGCAAAAACTGTATTCCCACTGAGTAGAGCTTAAATCCTTCACAAATAATTAGAACAAGATATTCTTAATATTCTCCCGTAAGGCTTATCACTTTGAACAAGTGAACATTGTCCCTTTCTGCGGTCCTCCCTCTTGTGTGGTCGTGGCCCTTACGTAGAGCGGCGAAGGTAGGGTCGGTGCGGTGAGTCAGCGGCGCCTCTATATATAGCGTGTCCGCTGGCGCCCGGCTTTGTCTGTCGCCGGTGGCGGAGCCCCGCCCGGCTAATTCGGGACACCACTCCCCCGAGATGACTTATTATCGACCGAATTGACGTCGTTTACGCTTTATTGCCTTCGAACGTGCGCACTCGCCGTACTATCTCGCGGATATGGGCCGCGGCGGCCGCTGCCCTGACATTTACCGGTTGCCGGGCGACAATGGATTCCTCTCACACTGAGTAGTTTGTTAATCGAGCACTGCCGCCACTTAGTTTTGTTAGTTGATTTAAGTTAAGAAACGTAGATTGAGCTAATTAAGGACGTGGTAAGAATGATCAAGGTTATCAGAGTGTAATGACACTGAATATTCGATTGTGCTCCATATAGGCTGGGGTCGCATTGTGGTTGAGCGTGATCTGACTGTGATATGGGGTGCTGCAGCTATGCAGTGGGGCACGCTCTACTCCACGTTCCGCGACCGTTTCCTTACATTGACTACTCTTTAGTGGCTTTGAACGAGCTATAAATAAATTTATAGTAAAATTTATTTATACGTTCATGTAAATAAGGAAAATGGGAATTACGCCGCTAGCTGATACTTTAAATTGTTTTAAATAGCTCCAGTGAACAGAATTGAGACCATAAATATGGCACGTTGACACTTCTAATTGCTGTTTATAAGTTTCGTCTTGGAGCGGCTATGTAGCGGATATATCATTTGAAATATACCTGTGAGCTAATCTCGTTCAACGGCATCGTCAAAAACCGCCCGGCTGTTACTAAGTAGCGGCGATTACGAAGCAGCCCCATGCTGAGTCTGCGTCATGCGACACTTGAGACATGTAGACCATGTGACCACTGACCAACCGCGCGGCATCATCGCCCCCGATACCGGATTGCCACCCGCTGCATTGGGATTGCGTAAGAGCTCGCAGCTCGTTTCGACATCTCCAGGCTACCGGTTAAGTGACTTATGTGCCCTGTTTAATACGGTTGAACAATATTTATACATATTTGATACTTAATGGTCACGAGTTCGCGTCTCATTAAATCCTATTTGAACAGACTCAATTAGGTCTGTGTCTTTACAATAATTAGTGCCTCGTGTTTTATATTCATTCTGCTGAGTACGTACTTTCTTAAAAATCAAAAGGTTCTTATTCAAGTCAAGTAGTTTATACAAAGATATGCTCCTCCAATATTTAAAATGACTGTTTGTGACTTGTGCATCCAGTTTTGCTATATAATTCAAATATAAATCAGCCTACGGCACGATGAAAATATTGTAAAATAATTTTGATTCTTACAACATGTGTACGCTTTGATCACTCGATCGTTAGTAAATAATTGATCCAAGGTGTGGTGCCGAAAAAATTGAAGCATCGGGACTGTGATGAGACCGGTTACGGTTGTGATTGAACATAACCTCGATAACTTTAGAGCGTCAGGTCAAAGTATCGAATATCGTTTCGTCCCTTAATTTGACCACAGGAAGTCCACATGGGAAGTTTTCAATCAATGGATAAACAGGATATATTATTCGCGTAAACTTTGAGGCTTCGAAAAAAATAAAAAAATGTGTTGCCGATTACGTGCGCGTGATTCCTGTGCGCAGTGCGTGGGTGAGTAGGGTACGCAAAGAATTTGTGACCAGCGCGTGCGCTACTTGATGCCATCAGGCGCCGGCTTTGGTGGCTCTTGTCTCTTCTCGACTTTATGCTTCGAGAGCTTCGTGGGAGCTCTCAGAATGGCATCATATTAACGTTCGCAATTCTCTAATTGCCGACTTGGTGCGATTCATGTTCACGTATGTACAGTGTTCTCTAAATGCTTAAGTAACTGATAGATTTTTTTTTGTTTTAAACATTGCCTTACTTTAGGATATCCTGTATTGTAAGGTTATTTAACAAACATATATTTCACGAGGACTAACACCCAGATGCGAAACAATTATCTGTGGGTCACACAAATAGTTGTCCCGTGTGGGAATCGATCCCACCACCCCAGACGCCGAAGCCAATGCCTTGGTGACTACGCCACGAAGTCATCTGGACGGAGTATGATGAATATGGTTGGAGGATGTAAACATAGAGACAGACCGAAAAAGATTAGAATGGACTGTTTGAATAAGGATTTATGTCTGTGAAATTGATGATTATTTTGATGACGCCCGATCGAGGAAAGACCTTTTAATTATTTTTTTTCGGGGGGAGGAATCTTCAAAAGATACCCTGTCACCTCTCACATGACAGGGTTATGTGAGAGGTTCGCACCCACTAAAAACTCACTCGGTGGCCACTTTCTGTACCAGTTCCGAGGGACTCTAGGATATCCTACGGAACGCACCGGTGTCCCTCGGTACCGCGCCTGAGCACGCCTCGGAAAAAGAAGAATCATTCCCGATACTCTCGCCATCTTGCATAAACTAGCAAGGGCACACCGCACTATTGTTAGTCTATAAAGCCAACGCCCCCTTTAAGTCGCCTTTTGCGACAGGTAGGGGACAAATTAGTCCTATTCTAAGCCGGGACTACAAGTCTGACGGGGCAGCACGTCTGTTTCTGCCGGCCTGGCGCCGCCGTCTCCGAGCCGGGTCGGCCAAGTAGAATCCTCCGCCAGCGCATCTGCTACTGCTGATCCTCTCCAATATTATGGACCGGGATCCGTCGCTCGGCCTCTGATGCAGGACACTCAGCGAACGCAGGAAACTAAGTTGCGCGGAGTGCCGGTCTTCTAATCAGTATTGGCATTGCGACGTCGGTTCGCGTCCAACTCTATTTAGGTTCTCACCAAAGCACCCATGACCGGTCATGGGTCCAGAATGTCCAGTGGAGGAAACAGAGTTAGGACAGTGGTCGCCTCAAAGGGTGCTGACCCTAACTAGTGTGGCAAAAGGGCAGGAGAAACAGAGAGCTGCATTTGCATACGTAATAGATTCTCCTCCACTTAGAGGGATCACGGGACAGCTGGGGCTTTGCCTCGGCCTCATGGGATACCGGCGTGAAATAAAAGTTATTACTATGTTTATTTGATTTTCTAATTTTTGGTTACCACCTGCCGTCTACTTTTCACCATGGCCAGGGTTGACTGGTCGAGAATGCCACTTAGCTATGGAGCATAAATAAATAATTTTATACTGATATAGGACTGCAACATCTCTTCGTTGTGGATATTGGTGGTGTGTCGTGTGGTGGTTATCACGTAACATGGGACGAACGGCTTGCTCACTTGCCAACACTTTAAAATTGAAAAATGAATAAAAATAGATGCTAAGGGGATAGCCGTAGGAAATGCTATCTCTTTATCCTGCCCCAACCTCCTTATATGTACCTACATCTATATATAATGAATTTATTGTAATGGGAGATACAATAGTAACTATGGATATTGAATACCTTTTTTTTGCTAAGCAAAAGTTTTGTTTTGTCCTACATTTAGCTTTGTTGGAGTATGGAAAATATTTTGAATGTACAATAGTAACGGTCTTTTTTTGCTGGTTTATTTATTTGAAAAATATTTCGTGCATACTGAAAAAAATCTCGGTGCCGTCAATTAATGATATGTTCCTTCTGGATGAATGATAATGGTTGCACAGAGTATACTTGAGCTTGTACATTGACAAAGTCCTCTGAAGTATTCTGCTGTACATTTTTTTAATGTTCAGTGAATACCGCGCATGGACATCTGCTACACCTGTGGGTTACAGATGCGTTGATGAAAATTGGGCTCCGGGTACCTCAAGCACCAGACGAAATGCGAAAGTATTTGTCATACTTTGACTTTACGCCGGTCTTTTGTGAGGTCGTGGTACTGACCCGGAAGGGCCATTCGTGCAACAGCCGAGGCTTGCTGCGTGGCCCTACCACAAGAAAACATCATACACAAACACAAACAACATAACACAATATATGTATAGAGAATTTACGATGAAAATAAATCAGTTGCAGCACAACTCAGCCTGCTTTGGCCATCTGACATAAGAATTGTTTTTTTTTGACCAGACTTAGCTTAGAAAATTTTAAAAGCCTCTCTTAAGTCAAGGTCTATGCACTTGTGGGAGTTATTTTCTGATTACAATAAAAGTAATTTGGTTAAATGTACTCAATAACTAAAACATACTCTTTATTCTAAAATTTAATCCAAACTGAATATGTTATTACATTATTTATTAATAATGACCACAAGTACGTTGATTTCTTTGTATTTTCTGGCATGTGTTGTGCCGACTTATTGTCTATTCATTAACTTACTAATGTTATTTATAGCAAAGAAGTATTTTATCATGTTGTAAGGTCAAATAAACAATCATTGCGATTTGGCAGTTCCTCCTATATAGAAAAAAATAGTGCAGCAGATAAAGCTATATAATAAGATTGGTTTGTCAAAACTTCACAGTTAGATTTGATACCAACAACAGTGCGCCCCGAACATTAAATTGTGAGCCCCTCGACTTCCGTTATCCGCGTGAAAGCTTTAATCGAATCAATACAGTAAGTATAATAAAACTGCAACGGAAACACACGTCAATCGTCATCATGATCATATAAAAATATTGGGTCTTTATGTTGCGAGAGCGATATTAATGAAAAGTGACGGTTCGATCATTTCATTTTTTAACGTGTTTCCTGATCAACTGGTTGTGCTCTTATCCTTTGTGCATAATTCCCACACACGTATTGTGTTGCACAGTGCTGCGTTGTTGCTACAGAAGCGCGCATTAATTAGCATTAGAAACTCTCTAGTCCAATATATCGATGCGGGTGCAATTATCGGTCGATTACATTCACGCATAACAGTCGTAGCGGTTTTTAGACTTGCCCTTTGGCTCGAAATATTAACGATTCACACGGTGCATTTATCGCTGTGAATCGGTGCTTTTTTGTATTAGGAATTTTTCCGCTATTATGTAGAGAGAGCAGAGGCATTGTATTGATATAATGTCTTACGGCCGTTCTCAATATTCTATTGACAGTTCAAGATAGATAGCTATCCTCGATCGTTAGTATTTGGTTTTCTATCTTCAGAATCCGTCCCTATATAAGAGATAGGTGTTTTCTATCTCCAGTTAACAGTAGATAAGCGGCCTATCCGAGCCCTCTTTAAATCGCAATGGTATAAATCATCAGTAACGTTTCATCAACGTTTGATGATATTTTTTGTATTAATGTTATAAAAAGAAAATAATTACATAATAATTTTATATCACAGATAGATGTCAACCATTATTGGACGCGGCAAATGACAATTTCATACAAATATCCCTAAGCTATCCGTCCTCCCATCGACAGATTAAACTGTTTTTTATTTAAACGTTCAGTATTAAGCAAGTAGCATTGTTAATACCAAAGCATACATTCGGCAGGTAAGCTCAACCTAACCCAGCCCTTTGTTAACAGCTCAACGGTACACCTAATCGCTCCATTAGCTGCTGAGGAAACGAGTGCCGCTATAGGTTTTTTTTGTGATAATGTTATAATATGTAAAATTTGTGGCGATTGGTGGAGACGATCGCAGGCGCCTCAACGCGCCTTATTCAACGCCAACGGTCCAGGGCTGGATTTAGGCTCCCACAATAGAGACTTCTGCTGTCGTAACGCAATATTCTTATATAGAATCAACGTATGAGCGCAAAATGCGGAGATCAAACAATGGTCGCAGCTGCGCACCGGGCAGGTGTTCAATTCACGATCGCATGCAGATGTTCGACGCCCGCCTGCCCGAACGCCCTTCACGCAGGTACCCACTGAAAGCGCGGCAACGGAGGCTTTTTTAAATTTTGCACGGTTCTAGTGCATTTCTGATATCACGGCAGTTGTGATGTCGGGGTGCGAAGCTTAGTGACGAGCGTGAAATGTTCACTGGCTAACAATTACAGTTCCCCCACGATCATGCAGATGAGCTTAGTGGAGCGCGAATCGCGTTGGCCTTCCTTTCGGGATGAGAAAAGCTCGCATTTCAGTTTTGTTTCTCTCTTATTTTAATTTATAATATATCACCGATAAGACTTGTAGCGGGTCATCATTAAGGCAGTAGATAATACTGCGCTAGACATCACTCCAACCAAGTAACGATATAACCATGTACTGTTTGATATCTCAAATGGATTATATTGCTCTCTCACAAAAAGGAATCAAACATTTCAAATCTAATTTTCAAATCTACACGTGTCGCTTAAATTTAAAGCTGAAACGCGGGAAGTGAAAACACGCCATTCACTCGGTCGACCGCGTTTTTATCTTCGTCGTAAAACTTATGCACCATGCTCAAATATCTATCCCTCAATCAATAAGATACCAATTATGATCAAGATACTTAATCATCTTAGTTGTGAGATACTAAGATGATTAAGTTTATGATGATTAAATTTATTAGGTAAATATGTAAAGCGTCTGCGTTTAATAAAAAAAATACTGTAGAGTAATAGGAATATTTCTGTCGAAATGTTATTAACATTTATAGGCCCATGGGCCATGAGCAATACAAAAGTCAAACGGATCAGCCACAAGAATGAACGATTTGTCCGGAACGTCCAGACGCTCGCATTCCTCGCATTCTTTTCCAGCATTACCGCATTACCTAGTTTCCTTAAAGAGTCGGGTACGCCGCTAGAGTCTGCTCTTTTAATTATTGTTTTTCCTTACGCGAAAAGCAGTGTAAATCAGTTTTTTTTATTTAATAGGTTTACAATTAGGTAGCATTACTTATACGGGCGTAGTTTATATAGGAGCTTAAATAAATCGGTTTATTACCTAGTCTTCGGTATGAGAGTTATTCTCAGGCGGTCAATATGTCTGTATTTTGATTTAGGTTACGCACCACGTAAATACCACGCGACGTCTGCGACAATGGTGCGACGATGTGGAAGTGGTGCGGAGATATCGGGGTGACAGTGTGTCCACGGGCTCGCCTCGCCTTTGGTGATTTTGTTTATTTTTGTGAGATCGGATGCGCAACAACGGTGGCGGCGGTGGCGGTGGCCTGGTCGGGTGTGTGGGAGGGGGAGGGTAGGAGAGGGGGGGGGGGCGCATTAAAACAACCCCCGCCCTGCCCACCGCAGACCCCGCGCTGCATCTGCTCCCGAAGCGACGCGAACGAGTCGATTTGAACGCACTGAGGAAGCTTTGTTCTCGTAACGTTGCATTTAAAGATTTTCTTATAACCGGTGCCACTTCAAGCATTGGGGCGACACATGTTTCATTAATGCTTACCAATGTGTCGGCGTCACCACCGATACTTACAATGAGTTGGTCTACTGTGATTAACATAATATGAAGAACGTAACGTTATGATTTTTTCTCTTTCCCCTTTTTCTTTCAAGAAAATTGCTGAAGAAGAACAAAAAGATAATACTTCACTCCATAGTATAAAACAAAGTCGTCCCGCTGTCTGTCTGTCCCTATATAATATATGTTTAGATCTTTAAAACGACGCAACGGATTTTGATGCGGTTTTCTTTGATAGAGTGAATCACGAGGAAGGTTTATGTGTATAATTTATGCATAATATATTAGAGAAACACTTATAATTTTGGAGGTTTCTAATGCGATAGCAAAAACAAACATTGCACCCTTGCGAAGCCGGGGTGGGTCGGGAGTTTTATGTCACGACATCAGTTCAAAGAGCACCATCGGAATTGAGAGTGCTTTTTTGACAAAACTTATCCAGTTTGTTTCTCTGTTGATTGATGATATCATTAAAAGATCATACAAGAAAATTCTTTTTCACATTGTATACAACTCATAATAATAGTCTAACGACTGAGAGAGGGCTTTATTGTACATGCCATACGTCTCGCTCACCCCCGTTTCGAGGGAAGTGCGGGGCGCGGGGGTGGGGGGGTGGTGGGGTGACGCGCGCGCGGTACGGAGGCTGTGCGGCCCGCGGCGGGGCCTGTGAGTGCGCGGGCCGAGCAGTCGTCCGGCGACCGGCGCGCGGCATGTTCCAGTGCATCGTGACGCCGCGCCGCGACTGGCCCGCGCCCGACGGCAACGATGCCTTCGCCGGTACTGTGCCCCACCATCCCCCCCCTCCCGCACGCCCGCGACCTACGCCCGCGCTGCGCTATATTTAGTGCACACTTTACCCAAACAACGAGTCCCGGCTCGTCCGTATCACGATCGACAGCTGATCATTTCGAAACTCGGTGCCGATTCCGCTACCGACGTCGCCGCCCAATTCCAACGGGAGCATGTAGAAAGCGCGGCTCCCTAAGCGATCGAGCGCCATCGGCTTCTTCGGGCCTCGACCCCTCCGTCCACTCCGCTCCATTTCATTCCTCCGACCCAACCACACGTACACACGTACGCAGGAGATCGCCACATTAACGTACGTTGAACTTCCGCCTCGACGTTAATGCGAAGATTGTACTTTTCCGTTGTTTAGTTTTGATACACAATTATCTCGGCCACTTTATCAATAAACAAACAGCACTCAGCCACGAGAGACGTGCGCCGGCCGCGCTGATGTTACGCACCCGCCATTCCCCCCGCATTGCAATACTTTTACACAACTAAAATACTTTTACACTTTTAGAATGTTTCCTTCGGAGACGTGTAGCTTGCGCGTCGTTCGGTGACCGGAACTCGATTCCTCTAGCAGAGGTATACATAATTATGCTTCAAAAATGTGATTCTCTGACAAGTTATGTCGGTGTTAACATCTGAAGAATATAGAAAGAGCACCTTCACGCATTGCCTAGTGCGTACCTATTAGACAGTCAGTTCAAATTAAAATGCGTTATGTGAACAAGGATAAAATAAATAAAACTGAATGTGATTGAGAATTTTGACTAAAGGTTTACTTGTTTTGATTAGATTTTAATTCTGTGGCTAATTCAGTTGAACAGGGAACATTCCAGCTTCATAAAATATAAAGCATTCGGTTGTAAATTAAACACACGAGGCCGGTCTGTGGATTTGTCTTTACATTTGGAGGAGCACCGAGTGTCACCCCAACCGGTCGCAGCGTGATTCACCTTTCCCCGAAGATAGGCAGCAAAACCAAAATAATTGAATGTATCAAAGTAGGTTATTGCGTTTATGCTTTCATCATCATCATTTCAACCTGTTTTAGTCAAGTGCTGAAATTAAAGCTCCCCCATGTTTGTACTTTACTTTTAATAAAGTATTTTTTTAATAGTTTTTTTTTATGTGTGAAAGTGGTAAACGAAGTGGCGGCTCGCCTGATGTAAAGTGATAACCGCATGCCCATGGACATTTGTAATATCCGGAGGGTTGCAGATGCGTTGCTACCTCTTAATAATGTGGGCCCCGGCTACCTCACTCACCAGACAAAACGCAGAAGTGTAACACTTCCACTCTACGCCGGTCTTCTATGAGATCGTGGTACTAACCCGGACGGACCTGCCCACTCGTGCAACAGCGAACACTGTTGCGTCGCCCTACCACATACCACTTCTTATACTTCGTATTAAATCAATGTCTAATGTAATGCAGTGGAGACGAGATTATTAGAAACCCTTCGATCCGTCCCGGGCCTTGTACCCACGATACATCACTGCCAATCGTTTATTTTATTAAAAGAAAATAACTCAAAACGAAAGAAATTGTTCAAATTTACAATTGTTGAAAGTTAGAAATTGTTGATAAAAGACTTAATATATATAGTACCTGGAGGACCTTGCTTGCTCGTTTTTTTTTTTGGTTAATGATGTATTTTGGAAATAAAAAAATAAAGAAAATGATCTGATATAGAAAAAAGAGTAAAAAAAATGAGTGTGTAACTGATCGTGGTACGAACCGAGCTATTATAACATTTTTTTTTGCGGCGAAATTTACTGTCATATTCGAATAATATTTTTCATTCCCTGAAAACAGGGATAAAAAGACATTTTCTAAAAATTAAACATAGCTAGATCAATTTTTCGCCCCCGAATCTACGCACATACTACATTTCATGAAAATCGCTGGAGCCGTTTCCGAGATTCCGATTATCATATATACAAGAATTGCTCGTTTAAAGGATAAGAATATAGATATATTTGTTATATAATATTTGTAATTAGCATAATTTAAATATAGAAACATTTACTTCCTTATTCATAATTTGAAATTGCATCACAGGATATTTGAGATTACTCCTTCTAGCGGTCCCAACTTTTTTAATTTTCAAAGTTTCGATCCTCTTCGCCAAGTGTTAATTACGTTATCACACAAACCATTTTTAAACCCCTTTGGCTCCAGACTGTAAAAGGGATTTGTGTGAAGTGGTAGTATATTAATAAGGTAATTATTAGTTATGTCTGTGTAAAAGCGATCCCTGACGCTCGAGTCCTATTAACCTTATTTCGACTTTTGGCAATGGGTAGTCGGGCCGTTGTATCGTCTCACCACCCGTCAACGTTTCAATATTGGAGCAACTGACTGCGTGGCCGTCACTTTGATTATCTTTTATATTAAGCATCTCTTCAAGAAGATTTTTGATTGTTTTAAACTATAGATAGATATATTAGACGTGAATTGAAAGTTGCACGCTTTTGTGATCCACGCACATGATGTCACTAACAAATATACATATACCTAGTTTAGTTATAAAGAGAGAAAATAAGAGAGAAGTTTTTATGACGTAATAATTTCTTAGCCATAAAATCCGTAGAGAAGTAGTAATAATGGAAGGTATTTAAAACTCGAAATTTAAATTACCGGAGCTCCGGTGGCTGGCAACGGCTGGCGTTCGTCCCTTTCCCACACCTCCCACATACCGCCATCAACAATTGCCGCCTGTTATGTGTAATGCTATGGGATGCGTTCGCGTTAAAGTAATTGATTGCTGCCTAAAATCGTTCTAAGATTCTTTGAACCTTGCTACGAGTCGTTATTATTCAGCACTGCAACGACGTGGCATTGATTCAATCAATTTCATACACTTTTCTAGGGGCATTGAATTCCATGCTTCATATAGTTCGCTTTGACTGGTGTTACGTTTGTTTGAGATTTTCTTTTTAACAATATACCAGAGATTTTCTATCGGGTTTAAATCCGGACTGTTTGCTGGCCTGGCCGTGTGTTTTTAGGTTCATTGGCATGCTGAAAGATCCATGCTACAGGCAAATGATCGATTGCCATTGATTCATTGTACCTTCAATCTTCCCAACGGGTCCAACTCCACATCCGGAAAAATACCCCCAAACTTTAATGTTACTGTTTATACGCCTTTTGTATTTATAATTAAAAGCATTGTTTACATGACATCTAATATAGTGCTTTCCATCGGAATTTACCATATTTATTTTTGTTTCATCTGAAAATAACACTTTTTCCATTCTCGTACTCTCCACTAATCTTCGGCGTATCAATTTTGACGAGATGTTTCTCGGGCCATCAGGCGAAAAAACTTCATTTTTTATCTCTCTCGGAGCTCTTACTTGGGTCTTTTCTTAGCAACACGAACGATGAGCGTATCTTCTCTGGGAGAGGTTTTTCTTGGCCGAGCCTTAGTAAGAACATTTTCAACAGTTCCATGTGTTTTATAACGATTAATTGCATTAAAACTTTCTTAACAGAGTAATGTAAATGCTCAGCTAATCATCTGTGCGCTCACTTATGATGTGTGTGTAAATTAACAATTATTTGCCTAGTTATAGACGCGTCACAACTTTTATTTTTGGCCATTTTGAATGAAATAAAATTCAGATTGAATTGTCGCTAAAATAATAGATAAAGCCAAGAAAGAAATGTTATTCTCCAATTAGAAAAAAAGAACAAGATATTGATGTTTCTAATTAAGCGTCTAAGCGGACTCATATTGTGATTAGAAATTAAAAAAAAGTAAGATATGTTTTATATTTAATGCAAAAATACGTTTGCAGACATCCGCGTGCAGCTGTCGGAGCAGGCGCGCGTGCTGGAGGCGCGCGCCGAGGCGGCGGCGGGCGTGGCCGGCGAGCTGGGCGACTACTGCCGCCGCAGGGCGGACCTCGAGCACGAGTACGCGCGCGCGCTCGACAAGCTGGCGCGCGCGGCCGCGCAGCGCCACAAGGACCACAAGCACAAGTAGGCGGGGTGGGGTGGGCCGTCGGGCCGCGCGTCGGACGCCACAAACGCCGCAAACGTCACAAACGCCGTGTGTTCCGCGCAGGCGCGAGCAGTGGCCGCTGACGGGCGCGTTCGCGTGCTGGCAGGCGGCGCTGGACGAGACGCGCGCGCTGGCGCGCGACCACGCGGCGCTCGGCGAGCTGTACGGCGGGCCGCTGGCCGCGCGGCTGCAGCGCGCCGCCGACGACGTGCTGCGCCTGCAGCGGCGCGGCCGCGAGCTGCTGCACGAGCGCCAGGAGGAGCTGGGCGGCGCGCTGGCCGAGGCGGCCGCGGCGGGCAAGGCGCACGCCGCCGCCGCCGCCGCCTGGCGCGCCGCCGCGCTCAAGCTGCGCAGCGCGCACCAGCAGCGCCACGCCGCCCCGGCGCCCCCGCCGCCCGACGCGCCGCGCACCAGGAAGCTCAAGGCGCTCGAGAAGGAGCTGCAGAAGGTCTTGCCTTTATGCTATGTTAGACCGAACACCGATCGTTACATCCGGCGAATGAGTCGAGGTGCCTTACGATGGTAAAAATGTGATTTTTTCGACGAATCTAGTTACAAAATTCAAGATCATCGTGTAAATCTAATTGTAAATGTAACGTATCTGCAGTAATACAATATTATCGAGACCGAGTTAAAGATGTGATTTTGTACAAGTTTTAATGTGAATCAATAAAAGCTCGTAAAGCAATGACCTGTAAATAGGAACTGTCTGAAATTGTCTCGTAAATGTAGTCGATAGGCAGATGTGATTCCGTATAATTAAGCGTACGTGCGTTATGCATCGCGCAGCGTCGCGCGAGGCACAGCGAGGCGCGCGCGGCGGCGCTGCGGGCGCGCGCCGACTACGTGCTGAGCCTGGAGGCGGCCAACGCCACGCTGCAGCGGTACTACCTGGACGACGTGGCCGACATCATGATGGTGAGTGGGGCGCCCCGGGTGCGGTGCGGCGGCGCCCAGGCAGAGCGTGACGGGGCGGTATGGGCGGTGTGCGCAGTGCACGGAGGTGGGGTTCGACGCGGTGGTGGGGCGCGCCGTGCGCACGGCGGGCGCGGCCGAGGCGGCGCGCGCGCGCCCGCTGGGCGCGGCGGCGGGCGCGCTGCTGGCCGCGGCCGACGCGCTCGACGCGCTGGCCGACCGGCGGCGCGTGGTGCAGGCGCACGCGGCCGCCTTCGCGCCGCCGCGGCCGCTGCCGGCGCGCCCGCCGCTGCCCGAAGACCAGGAGCGCGACATGCGCGAGCTGGCGGCCGAGGCGGCCGACGAGGGCGACGCCGCCTCCGAGGAGGTGCGCCGCGAGCTGGCCGCGCGCCTGGCGCAGCTCGAGGCGGCCGCGCGCGCCCTCCGCGCCGAGTGCCGCGAGCACGCCAAGACGCTCGACGCCGCCGAGGCCGAGCTGGTGCGCCTCATGGAGGGCGGCGCCGCCCAGTGGGAGGTGGGCGCGCTCTTCGCCCCCGCCGCCGCCGCGCCCGCCGCTCCCGCCACGCCCGTCGACGACGAGGCGCCGCGCCGCGCGCAGGAGGACTACTACCTGGCGGTGATTCATTATTATTACCACGTTCGATCATAGTCTTCCGTTTGGACGATGCACTAAAAGGCGTGCGCTTCGTGCCGGCGCAGAAGTTCCGGTCGTACGTGTGCAGCGCGGGGCGGCTGGCGCGGCTGGAGAGCAAGGCGGCGTGCGCGCGCGCGCGGCTGCTAGGGGCGGGGGCGGGCGCGGGGGCGGTGGCGGGGGGCGGGTCGCCGCCGCCGCGCTCGCCGCGCTCGCCGCCGCGGCGGCGCCGCGGGCGGTTCGCGCCGCCGCTGGAAGAGGGGCTGCCGCTGGTGCTGACGTCGTGCGTGCGCGTGATCGGCAGCTACGGGCTGCGGCAGCAGGGCGTGTTCCGCGTGTCGGGCTCGCAGGTGGAGATGCAGGCGCTGCGCGCGGCGTTCGAGCGCGGCGCCGACCCGCTGGCCGAGGTGCGCGACGCCTCCGACATGAACTCGGTGTGCGGCGTGCTCAAGCTGTACCTGCGCGAGCTGCGCCCGCCGCTGCTGCCCGCCGCGCTGCACGAGCGCCTGCTGCGCCTGGCCGCCGCGCCCGACGACGCCGCCTTCGTGCGCCGCCTGCGCCACGCGCTCGCCGCGCTGCCGCAGCCCGAGCTGCTCGTGCTGCGCTACCTCTTCGCCTTCCTCGCGCAGTGCGTCTTCCTCTCTCCCTCTCTCTCTCTCTCTCTCGCCCTCCCGCTCGCTCTCACGCGCGCCCTCTGCCCGCAGCCTCACCGAGTACAGCGAGCACAACATGATGGACGCCTGGAACCTCGCCATCTGCCTCGGGCCCACGCTGCTGCCCGCCTGGGGCGAGGGCGGCGCCCAGGTACCCTATTATGCTCCGTCATGACACTCTTCAGGGCTCGGAGGAGAGGCTGAATTATTGACATTTATGTTTAGCCTAGCGTGAACGTCTCGTATTACAAGTGTTTGCTGAGAGGTGAATAACACACCGAGAGGTCTGTTCCGCTATAGATATTTCCTCCCGTCGTGCACAAGTTTGTTGCCGGTATAAACATTCTGCTGAACCGTTTTTTTTTTTATTTATTTATTTCGAATTTTGCGATTCGACAGAACATTACACTTGAACGAAAGTAAAACTTAAAAATAAATTAATAAACAAAGGAAAAAAAATTACGATGAAAAATAATAACAATAAATACGTAACTAAAAACAAATAACCAAAACTATAATAATTATAAAGTATAAAAAAATAAAATAAAATAAGTGGCTAAATAAATATCAACATATTTCATGACTTAGAATAGATAAACTTTTTAATATTGCAATGGATGTTTGTCTCGTATGGACACAAAGAAAGGCCTTTTTAATGTCTTGAATTGATTTAATTTGCAACTTAACTTACCACTGAACGTTTTAACGTCAACCCGACAATTGATGTAGGTAAATTGAATGTCATAGTTACAGTACATCGTTAATGCAACGAAACATATGATCTAAGCATTGCTAATAAATTTCATCAGGTTGAAGATCCTCTCCCCTCGTTGAAGATCTGCAGCAGAAGATCTTCAATTATCTGGTTCTTCAAATGTAGGTAAGGGGCAGAGGCGAGTCAAAAGTCGACGTAGACATCCCTTTGCAGTTCTCACGTCGGCGACTCGAGCTATATTGTCTGGTCCAGGGTATAACTTCTCGACTCGACCGAGACGCCAGCATAATGGAGGAATATTGTCTTCGGAAAGTGTAACTAGATCACCAAATTTGAGACTAGAGGTGTTGGTCTTCCATTTAGTTCGATGTTGCAGCTCTGCTACATATTCTCTCTGCCAGCGAAGCCAGAAATGTTGACGTATTTGTTCAAGATGGGCGTAGCGGTGTGAATTGTTTGGATTGTACTCGGTGACTGGTGGAGCCGGCAATGCAGTCAATGATCGACCGATTAAAAAGTGCCCTGGGGTAAGGGCTGAGAAATCGTTGGGAGAAGGAGATAGAGGACACATAGGGCGGCTATTAAGGATAGCCTCCACTTGAGCAAATAACGTAGTCAACTCCTCAAACGTTAAGTGACTGTTACCCATTACGCGCTTAATGTGGTGTTTCGCGGACTTTACGCCAGCGTCCCATATCCCACCGAAATGAGGAGCGTAAGAAGGAGAAAAAGCGAATTTGACACCTTCCTCACTTGCAAAGTCAGATAGGGAGTTTTTAGTTGCTTTGATGAAGACACTAAATTCTTTGGCCGCAGCAACGAAATTGCGTCCGTTGTCGCAAAATACTTCCGATGGCTTGCCGCGGCGAGCTACAAAACGACGAAACGTCATAATGAAGGCATCTTTTGTAAGATCGCTAGTAGCTTCCAAATGAATACATTTGTAACTTAAGCACACGAACAAACAAAGATAACATTTAATTACCTTTGCTCCACGGCCCTTACGGTTTATTATATAAAATGGACCAGCAAAGTCTATACCTACAGTATTGTATGGAAAATCTACAGTGACGCGTTGGTTAGGTAAATTTCCCATCATAGGATGTAAAGTTCTACCCTGATGACGCCTGCATACTACACAATTAAATACCGTACGGCGGGCAATATGTCTACCATTTATAGGCCATATGGTTTCACGCACTAGTGACAGTAGCAGTTGGGGACCGGCGTGCAAGTGACGTTTGTGCATGTATTCACAAAACAAGCGTGTAAAATGACTAGATGAAGGTAAAAGAACAGGATGTTTCTTATCGTAATTAAAATTGGATGCATCGATACGACCACCGACACGAATCGCTTTGCACTTATTATCAAAAAACGGACTTAATGATAATAAATTTGACTTCGGACTTAATGATTTACCGTTTGACAATAAATCATATTCAATAGGAAATGTTTGTCTTTGAGATAGAACACAAAGATGTAAAAAAGCATTATTTAATTCGTCTATAGTTAATATTGATAATTGTTTACTGTTAATTTTATTTAAATTGTTAATAAATCTTAAAACGTAGGCAAATGACCTCTTTAATTTAATAAAATTCGAATAATTTGAAAAATTGATGAATGGTTCAAAATTAGTTGTAGCAATGTTAGATTTAAGTTCAGGTAGCTCAAGAGTTATTTCCGAATTTAAAACAAGCCATTCACTTTGGGGTAGCAACAGAAAATCATGGCCACACCACCACGAGTCCATATGCTCAATTTGATCTGGGTACACGACCCTCGATATGAGATCGGCTGGATTTAAGGAAGTGGGCACATAACGCCATGAGCTAGAATTAGTTAATTCACATATCTCAGCAACTCTGTTAGCGACAAATGTTTTCAAATTACGACAATTAGATTTCAACCATCCTAAAACTACGCTGGAGTCGCACCAGTGATAAAAATTAATTGATTTATTACGTGAAGAATCTAAAATAGTACTACATAGTCTGGCGGCTAGTAACGTTGCGCAGAGTTCAAGCCGAGGGATGGTAGTAACCTTTATAGGTGCTACTTTTGACTTCGCACAAAGTAGTTTTACAGTGACACGGTTATCAGCATCTATGCTCCTCGCGTAAACACATGCGCCATAAGCAGTCTGCGAAGCATCACTAAAAGAATGTAACTCAATTAACACGGGATCTTTGCATAAAACTAGTCTAGGTACTCGTAAATTTAGGATGGATGGCAGTGTGGTTACGAACTTGTTCCAAGAAACTGAAATACTTTGGGAAACAGGTTCGTCCCAATCAAGGTTTTGTAACCATAGTTGTTGCATTAGCATTTTAGGCAAAATAATGCATGGACTCTGCAATCCCAGGGGATCGAAGATTTTGAATGAAGTGGATAAAATATATCTTTTGGTTAAAGCGACATTTTCTTGAGGAATATTAAATGTATATTGTCTGAATTTGGGTTCCAGCCCATGCCTAGGGTACTGGAAGACTCGCTTGTGATTAGTTTATCAGTATTGTCTGATTTAGAAGAATGAAGTAGGGAAGGTGAGTTTGTTTTAAATTTGCGTAGATTAAAACAACCCCCTTTTAAGACGGACTTTTTTGTAATAATGATTTATATATGTGAAATAATTCTTGCTCTGAATGACATCTTGTATAGACGTCATCGACATAGAAATCATGCTGTATAATATTTTTGATCAGTTGGTCATCGCACTCCTCACCTAATTGCCAAAGGCATCTCGTACTCAAGTAACTGGAACTTGCAAGTCCGTAAGTTACAGTACTTAGCTTTATCGTTTTGATAGGCATGGACTCATCTTCTCTCCATAAAATTATTTGGAGATTTTGGTCATCATCATGTAATTTCACCTGGCGGTACATTTTTTCAACATCGCCAGTGAGCACATATTTGTACTGATGAGACCTAATGAGTATGGAGAAAAGAGAGTCCTGCATGTTTGGGCCTACCATAAGGATATCATTAACGGAAAAACCAGATGTGGTAGGAGCGGACCCATCAAACACCACGCGAATTTTTGTAGTCTCACTACTGTCTTTGAATACAGCGTGGTGACACAAGAAATAAGAAGGTACAGGTTTCATGATAGATGATTCAGAAAGATGATTTAAATTAGCATATTCACGAAGGAATTCTACGTATTGTAATTTAACATTGGGCTGCTTATGAAAACGCTTTTCTAAATTAAGCAGTCGTTTCTTAGCGAGATTATAGGACTCACCCAAACAATCTGGTGAGTCTTTCAGGGGTAGTCGAACACAAAACCTGCCTGAAGGTAAACGAGTGGTGTGAGTTTTAAAATGGTTCTCACACTCTTGCTCGCTTTCGCTTAAAGAAACCTTTGGTGGAAGCTCTTCTAGCTCCCAGAACTTAGCAATTTGTTTATTTAAATTTTCATGAGAATCAGGATTAGTAATGGCATGATGACATTGAATATTTGAAGATTGTATATGTCCTGTATGCATAGGGCCAGCGATGAGCCAACCAAACTGGGAACTTCTTAATTTAGGAAATTTAGGGCCAAGAGTACGCTGCTCACAGCCAAGAACGTCCCAGAATATATCTGCACCAGGCAGAATATCAATTGCTGCCGGTTTATTAAAGTTAGGATCAGCTAGCTTAAAGTTTTTTAATAATGAACTATATTTATGAATATCAATGTATGTTTTTGGTAGCTGACCTGTCAGCTCATGAAGTACTAGACAGTTAGCTACGATGCTGAAATTTGTTTGTAATGAAATTAGTTTGACAAAGCAGGTTTCAGTCACCTGGTTATTAGGGATGTTTCCGATTCCTACTATATTTATTTTTATTTCTAGTGTTTGTGTTTAACCCTAGTCTATTTTGAAGAGACTTTGTAATAAAGGAAGACTGACTTACACAATCTAGGAGAGCACGAACTGTCTCAGTCTTATTTGTTTCAGGGTTACAAATTTCAAAGATAGCGGTAGATAATATTACTGAATTGCAATGTTGTTTTGCAAAATTGGATACAGATGCTTGTGGAGGGGTATCACTTGTAATGGAGAGAGTGGCTGGAATATGGAGTAAACTGTTGTGCCTCCGCTTACATTCACGGCAAGGTCCTAACCGACACTCGCGGACGGCGTGACCCTGGCGGAGGCAGTTGACACATAATTTTAATCTTGTTACTTCAGATTTTCTTCTTCTACACTTTTAGCTTTAAAAACTGGGCAATCATAAATTCTATGTTCTCCATTACAAATGACACATTTTACTAAATTAGGGACTGAGCTATCACGAGAAGAACACGGAAATGATTTGGTATGTAAACGTTTAGGTTTTATTGGTTGAATTGTGTGTGTAGGCTTAAGGTAAGTATCAGATTTATTTCGATTTAATGTTTCTATTCTAACACGTCAGCACGATTAATTAAAAATTTATAAAATTGTTTTAAGTTAGGAATGCCTTCCAAACCGTTGCGATATTCCTCCCACTTCGCTAGTGTCCGACTATCAAGCTTAGTGCACATAATGTGAATAATCAATATGTCCCATTGGTCAGTGGGTTGATCGAGACTAGATAATGCACGCAAGTTTTTCGTTACATGATCAACCAGGAACCTTAATGATCGTTCAGACTCGCGAGTAAATGTATTCACATTAAGCAAAGAATTTAAGTGATAGTTGATTAATTGACGTTTGTTGTCATAACGTTCACATAGTAGTGACCAGGCTGTCTCATAATTAGCACTAGACACCTCTAAATTAGATATTATTCTAGCGGCATCTCCCTCTAAATAGGTGGTAAGATAATGAAATTTGTGTATCGGCAAAATGCGTTCATTATTTTTGCCTTTGGGGCTTGTAGCCCCGCCGGCGTGTGTGAGCTAAATAAGCCTACCCCCCTTGCGGCAGGGAGGAGTGTGCCCAAAAATAACAACTAATTTGCCTGCACTTTAGGTGCGATAGGGTGGGTACCTAGCTGTCGCCTATTGCAACAAGCACACAGTTAATAAAGTTTCATTAAAATCCATTCAGTAGTATTTGCGTCAAACAGTAATAAACACACAAACATCCATTCACACATACAAACTTTGGCCTTTATAATATTAGTAAGGATTTAGTATGAGTCATTAGTTAATGAAACATTTAGAAGTATTAAGTACCATTTTATTCCTGTTGCACCAAATGCTAAGAGAGTCAAGATCTTTTTGCAAACATATTTTTAAATTATCTGGAAACATTTTATTTATAAATATAACAAAGAGAAGAGGTCCAAGTTGTTAACCTTGAGGCGCACCACAGGGGACTGGTTTTGGTGAAGATTCAAAACCACGGACATTTAGAATCTGCGAGCGTTTTTGAAGATAGGATTCACACCATCGCAGTAAAGAACCACATATATCAGCATGTCCTAGTTTTTGTATCAAAATATCGCGGTCAATCATATCCAAGGCCTTATATAAATCTGTATATATTGGATGAAAATCGTTTTTCTTTTCGAATGTCTCAGTTATGTCATCAATATATTCAAGCAGATTAGATGTGGTTGATCTACCCGGAAGAAAAACATGCTGTTGAACATTAATATAAGACTATAATTGGAATAACAGCGTTTTTTGAACCATCGACTCAAACATTGTTCCTGTAGAGGATAGAATGGCTATAATTCTTTATATCACTTTTGTCAACACTTTTATGTATAGGTGTGATATGAGCATCTTCCATTTTGTAGGATACTGGCCACGTTCGAGAGGCTTATTGAATATGTAATACAGTGGCATAACTAATTGGGATGCACAGGTTTTAAGAATAAGGGGCGGTATGCCATCTGGCCCAGGACCTTTATTTGTATCGAGTTTTTGCAAGGCTTGTAATACATCAGATTTGGAGAAATTACACGACTTGATGGATATATGAGAGTATGTGTATATGGAGTAGAAATAATCAGAAAATAAATTGCTGATTTCTTGTCCACGATACGTTAAGAAACATTAGATCAGGGATATCGGTGCTGTTGGATCTAAAAGATTTGATAAAAGTCCAGAAATATTTGGGATTATTTTTAAGGTGTAATTTGGCATTGGAGTTTATTTATTTATTTATTTGCAAGAATAAGGTAATACATAATGGTCTTAAATCTAATATACAAGTTCACTTATTCTGCCTCTTTGATAGGCGTGCAAATATTAATTAGTTTTAATTGAATTTAGACATTAAGATTTAATAAAAACTAAAATATAGTATCGATAAATGTTAATTGTCAATTGCTATATATGTCACCTATAATTACATTAATTGAATAATCATTTTACACACAAAATTAGTTACATGAAATACTCGGAAAGACTATAAAAACAGTTGTTGACTAGCCATTCACTCAACTTACGTTTAAACGTATGAGTTGTTTCATTTTTTATTGTGTCTGGCAAATGATTGTACACACGGATTGCCATGTAGAAAGCATTCCTGCTAAAGAAGGAGTTGCCTGATTTAGGCAAGAATAATTTAGTTCTGTTCAAAGAATTTCTCTGCGTTACATCAGACTGTTTTATAAATAATTTTAAATTTTGTCTAACAAACAAACAGATATCCCTCACATACAGACAGCGAAGAATTTTTAATTTTTTAAAGTGTGATCTAAAACTCTCACAGTACCCCAAATTACATATAGCACAAATACATTTTTTTTGTACTACAAATGCTTTCTGGCTATCGACAGAGTTACCCCATAACAATAGACCGTAGCTTAGAACTAAGGAAACATATCCATGATATGCATAAAGAGCTACCTCTCGCGACACTGTTCTCCGTATTCCTCTTAGAGCATAAACAAATCAGTCTTAATTTCTTACAAATTTTAAAAATGTGCTCTTTCCAATTGCATTGTTCATCAGCAGTTATGTCCAAAAATACTGTAGATTGCACCTTTTCTATCGATTTATTTTCAAATTTAATGTTAGTCTATTTTTTTAATATGAGAATAGTTATAATAGTTTTCTTAATATGAGAGTAGCAATCAATTATCATTTTGCTGCAAGCATGTGTGCAAAGCGTTTTAAAAGTAAGATAATCTCTTGCCGTATTTTTTGAAGCTATTGTCAAATTTGCTCTTTTCTTTATGGTTACTAATTAAAGGTTTGCTAAACCAGTAAGGATACTTGCCATCATGTCTTATATGAAATGGTGTGTGTTTCAAAATAATTGGATTTATAGTTTCGTAGAATAAATCACCATGTTATCTATTGTATTAGTTTCTTTTAAAGTGTTTGTTCCAATCTACCTTACTTAATCTTCTGAATAAACTTGACTATGTCCTTAATTCCTTAATAATTGCATAAAATTTATATTTTCACTTCGAAAATTGGACCCAATCGCTTGATGCCGTCACTCCGAATTGTTTCAAACAAAAATTTTTCTTCCAATCTGATGTTTATTACTCTTGAAACTTCCGCTCAGAGTATGACCTTACTCTTAAAATTTTTCTTTATCTTTCTGTTTTGTCCAGCTCTTTTCAAGCTCATGCTATACCTACGGCTCTGGACCTCCCCCTCTTTATTTTCATACTGCTGCCATATTTGTGGCGGTTAAAAGGTCGAAATACGACCCATACTGTGGCCTCGGTGGAGAGGCTAGCAAGGAACCTTATCGTCTCGAGTAGAGGCGAAGGCGCGCAGAATAGCCCTCAATAGTCTTCATAGTCTCAATAGTGTGTTTGGGAAGTGGTGTGTTCGTGTAGGGATTTAGAAACAACATGTTAAATTCAAAAACGATTTATCAGTGAAAATTAGAATGTGAAAATACGCTGATGCATATTTCGTTGCCGTTTAACGTGGCCCTCGAACGTTTCTAGGTGACGGCGCAGAATCTCGTGAATGAACTCGTGAAGCGCATCATCCTGCACCACCGCGAGCTGTTCCCGCAGGACATCGCGCCTCACACGCTCTACCGCCGGCCCGGGTGAGTGTGCGCCGGGGCGCGCGACTCTGCTTCCGCTCGGGGCGCACGAGTGGAGTCGCGCGCTCACGCCCCGCCCCTCGGCCGTCCGCAGCGAGGCGGAGGAGGGCGCGGAGGCGCCGCCGCCCGCCGCCGAGGAGCCCGACGCCGACGCCGACGCCGACGCCGACGCCGACGCCGTCGACGCGCCGCGGCACGACGACGACGAGCACGACGAGCATGACGAGCATGACGAGCACGAAGCCAACGACGAGCTGTCGCTCTACGGCGACGAGGACGAGGACGACGACGACGAGGAGGACGAGGACGAGGACGAGCACGGCGAGGCGGCCGGCGACGAGGCCGAGGGCGCGGCCCCACGCAGGTGAGCCGCGCAGCCCCCCCGCGCCCACCCCCGCGCCCCCCGCGCCCCCCGCGCCTCTGACCGCCCCCCGCCTGTTGCAGGTCGGGCGCGCGGCGCGGCGCGCAGGTACGGGCGCAGTAGCGCACTCGAGCCGCGGCGGCGCGCGGCGGCGGACGTGCCGCCCGCGACGGCCCTTGCATGCCGCCCGCTCCCCTTGCCTTGCCTTGCTCCGTTAGCGCTTCCTTTCGTTCGGCGGGCCGATGCTTGGATGTGCATATCTGCCCGCAGTACGTTGGGCACGCGATCGTAAACGCTTCCATAGCTTCGGGGAGACTGACGATTAGAATAGTAGTTAGTTATTTATTTCCGTGAGTGCTTTTTATTCATTATTTATCCGTACCCTGCACCGTTTGTACTGGCACAAAATAAAGTTAAAATTAAATGTTAAATGTTGTTTAATTTTGTGCTGTCATAAATCGTAAATATCATTTTCACAAGCTTATCGTAGAGAATACACATAGCAATAAAGCTACTGCTGTAAACGCTATTTATTAACTTATTAAGCACTACCAGAACTATGAATTCATATGGTCGTCATTCCTCATTTCTTTTTATTTTTACAAAAGTAGAGTAGTTTATGAAACAAAAAAGTTTTATAAAATGTAAAATTTAGTTAAAGTTGAATTACGTGATTGTAGTAGACTTTAGAATCGTGATAGCTCTGTGTCCCAGGTGCTCGCCTTTAATTCAATATTCTCGAGCACCCTGAGTTCTTGCATATTTTCGAAATAATAACAAAAAAAAAATTTTAAATGTGTGAAATCCGCCAATCCGCAGTGGGGCTTGGTAGGCTATGCCCTGATACCCTCTTTACAGAGGTGGCCTTGCCCAGCTGTGGGACATTTATAGGCTGTTATTTTACTTTACTTTTACTTTAGCTGATTGTAGATTTTAGATTTGGTTTGGTGAATTATAAGCGGTGTCGTATTCGAGTAGTAGAACTAATGTTTTTGCATGATATGAATTCGTTGTAGACAGTTTGAATCATATCATCGGTAGCTTTGGAAATCCTTATCTCGTTATTTGTATTGCATGCCCGAGCTTCGAGGAAACAATCGATGACGGTGATGGAATATAACTTTATATTTTACAAGTGTAGATTCTTTTTAAATGTGTCGCCGCGTGCGCGTACTCGTGGTTGTGCGCGTGCGGGGCGCTTACCGGTCGCTCGGCGCAGGCGGAGGGCGCAGCCGCGGCGGCCACGGCGCCCCCGGGATGCAGGTGCGTGCCCGCCCCCACACTCCCCCCGTCGCCCCCCCCGTCGCCCCCCCGTAGCCCCCCCAGTGAGCGATCGTGTGCGTGTGCGCAGGCGGCTGGCCGAGAGCACGCCCGACCTGGTGCTGGACCTGCCGGCGCGCGCCGCGCTCGCCGCCGACACCTTCGCGCACAACCGCGACACGCTCAAGAAGCGGCCCGCGCACAGGTAGGTCCGCGCCGTGCAGTGGCCGCCCCGGCCGCCCCGACCGCCGCGCCGCGCCGCTACAGCCCGCCCCCGCCCGCAGGCAGGCGAGCTCGGAGGGCGGCGCGGAGGTCGGCGCGCCGCCCGCCGCCAGCCCCGTGCCGGCGCGCAACACGCTGCGCGTGGCCGCCAAGTTCGCCGAGCTCACACTCACCGGCGGCTCGCTCAAGCCCGCGCTGGCCGCCAAGCCCGCGCTGCTGCGCCGCCCCACGCCGCACCCGCACGCGCGCCCCGCCGCCGCCCCCCTCGGCCCCCTGCGCCCCCTGCGCCCCCTGCGCCCCCCTGCGCCCCCTGCGCCCCCTGCGCCCCCTGCGCCCCCGCCGTCGCCCCCGCAGCGCCCCCCGCCGCACAGGAAGCGCCGCCGCCCCCCGACGGCGCCCACTGACTGAGCGACGCACTTACGTGCGGCACACACATCGTGTGATCATGTAGCACAATTCCTTTTATATACAATCTTTATACATAATGTATTTGACGCATATTGAATATACACGTTTCGCCTTCCGAAGAAGGTTGTATTCCATTGAAACTTTCGCGGACGAACGGAGCCTCGTCGCAATTGTATCGCTACAATTTTGTACCGGCAAACGCCGGTTGCGGTGCGTTATTTTGTACTTTGTACCGTTGTAGTAGCGAATATTTTATACGTAATTTTTAAGTACCTAGTAGGATTATTTTTGTACGCGGCTCGCCGCATTATACGATTGAGCAGTTCGTCCACCGCTGAACCTTCTTAAGCCGCCATCAATAAACCAGTATTACAGGATACCCCTCCTCGTTTTATTGTTCAAACCTCTTCACTGTACATTTTTATTATATATGGTATACATTCATATTTAATCTGCATAGTAAATACTCATAATTCGCGATAACGTCGTCTCTTTTAACGCAATTTCGTCTGTATCTTATTACATATTCTTATCCTACTTTTAAAGAAATATACTTTTTAAGCTAGACCAAGTAGGTCTGTATTACCATATTTTGGGTAAAATTAAAAAAAAAAAAAAAATTATTACTAAACAATGTATTTTTGTAAATTAAAGTGTACCTTACAGAATTTTAAAATAAGATATTTAAAAAATTTGGTACTTTTTATTTAACTTAGTTGTTATGACTGTGTATTTTATAATCAGTCATACTCTTACATTGCAAACATAAAACTCATAATCTCTCAACTTTGATGCCAATTACGTTTCCTTAAAAATAATAAATGGTGCCAAAATACGTCCCCGGATCTTCTACTATATTTATATGTATATATATATATATATTTATATATATATATTTATATATATATATATATATATGTAGGCGTAGGATAAATAAAATCTTTATTTTGAGTATATTGTTACTATTTTCATCTTTATTTAAATTAATACATTTTAAGGCACAGATACACGTTACTCGTTCGTGGCGTCGTTGCGAAATCCCTCAATCCCTTTTACGTCATCCATCTTTCTCATTCACACAATACTTCGTTCAAAAATCATCTTTTACTCAACTATTAAATAATTAATCCTACAACTCGGCCATTCTGCAAATCGGTCTGGCCTCAGACTGAAGCTACTTTACCACAGTTATACTAAGTACTTAACATTTTTTTTCCTTCTTCATAGACATAAGTGTTTAAACATACAACAAAAAAAAAAATAACAACACTAATGAGCTTATTCCTTTACAACCACAGGTAGTTTAGGCAGTTTTAGTAGATGTTTAAAAAATACAAAATTACAAAAACAATTACTTAATCGGTCAAAAAAAACAATTTGTATCAAGGCCATCTCTTCACATAATCTGAAGCTGATGTAGTTCTTATCGGCCCTTCTTTACCTCTGTCTATTTTCTCTACCTCATACCTACCCCTTCCCAACTCCTTTGTAATTCGATATGGTCCGTAGAATTTTGGTTTTAATTTTAACGCAGTTCCAAACTGTACACGTTGTATAGCAACTAGATCACCTTGCTTGTACTTCTCTCCTTCTTTACGTCTTTTGTTATATGTCTTTCTATTCTCTTCTTGGATCTTTAATATTTGTGCCTTAGCCTCTCTTCTTGTTTCATCTCTTCTACTCATAAATTCGATTCTGCTTTCCTCTTCTAAGTATTCCATAATAGATAAATCTTCCTTCAGTTTAAGTTTCACTCCCGTTAACAATTCAAAAGGTGTTGTGTTAATTGATCGTTGATATGTGCTATTAATGACTCTTTGAAGCTTACTCACATGCTTATACCAATGGCCTGGTTCTTCTATACACATCTTTGTTAAAGTAGAAATAATAACTCTGTTCACCCTTTCAACTTGACCATTTCCGCGTGGTATTCCAGTGGCAATAGTGATATGTTTAATGCCTTCCTCTTGACAGTACTCTTGAAATTCATTCCCTGTAAAAGCTACTCCTCGGTCAGTAATGATTCTCCGTGGGTTACCATAATCTTTCTGGTGCAACTTTAACTTTTCTACGGTTTCCTTTGCTGTCACAGTCTTAACAGGATAAATCCAGACGAACTTTGTATATCCATCAATTACAGTAAGTATGTAGTTATACATTTTCTTAGTTGCATCTAATGGCCCTAAATGATCACAATGAAAAGTATTCAGTGGTAATTCTCCTTTATCAATTGGATTTAAAAAGCCTTCTTTCTTACCAGACTTTCTACTCGCTAATAAACAGGGTACACAGATAGAAACAATCTTATCGATTTTACTGTCTAGTTTTGTAATGTAATAATCTTTTTCTATTATATCCTTAATCTTCTTCTTCCCGAAATGTCCAATTCCATGGGCTTTTTTAATCAATTCCATATCCATCATATCAGGTAATACCAATTTCTTCTCCGGTCCTTTATAGATAACATCATTCTCTAAAAAATAATCTTCATATCCATTCTTTTCTAATATTTTTCTGATAATCTTTAACCCTTCATCTTCTTCTTGTGCCTTCTTTATTCTCGCATGTAACTCAACATCAACAAAACAAATGTTTCTGCTCAATGCGTCAACATGTTGCATCTTGTCTCCTGTTCTATGTTCTATAGAATACTGAAAATCCTGTAAGTATAGTATCCATCGTGCTACTTTTGCAGATGCATCCTTTTTGTTCAAGGTTTTTTGAAAGGCTTCACAATCAGTGACAATTTTAAAGGGTATTCCTATAAGAGATATCTTCTGAATTCCTTCACGGCTTCAATAACAGCTAAAGCTTCTAACTCGTAACTGCAACACTTTTCTTGAACTTCTGTAGTCTTTCTGCTCATGTAGTGAACAGGATGTTGACAACCATCATTAGGGTCTCGTTGCATTAAAATAGCTGCATATCCATGCATAGAAGCATCTGTATGTAATTCAGTTTCCAAATGAACATCAAATATTTTCAACACTGGTTCACAACATAATTTTGACTTTAATTCGTCAAAAGCTTGTCTTTGAACATCCTCAAACTTAAACTCACCTTTTTTCAATAAATCACTTAATGGCTTCGCTATTAAAGCATAATTTTGAATAAACTTTCTGAAGTACGAAGTTAATCCTATGAAGCTGTGCAGTTCTTTAAAATTTTTAGGCACTGGAAAGGTCATAACAGCCTTTGTTTTCTCACTAGATGGTCTTATCGTTCCATTGGAAATATGGTAGCCTAAGAATTAAACAGATCTTTGTAGTATTTGTGACTTCTTCCAATTTATTTCGAGCCCATACTCCGCTGCCACCTTCAGCAAAGCTTTAAGTCGTTCAATTCCCTCTTTTTCATCTTTTGAAAGTATAATTATATCGTCAATAAATATCAAAACCACTCCCGTTCTTATAAAATTTGCAAATATGATGTTAATGTATCTTGTAAAGTATTTAGGACAGATAGAAAGATCAAATGGTGCTCTTAAAAATTCATACTGGCCTTCAGGGTTACTCGTTACAAATGATGTATACTTCACCGACTCTTCTTCAATTGGTAATTGGAAAATGCCATTTTTTAAATCAAGTGTGCTATACACATTCACTCTACTCAATTTGTCAATAAGGTCGTCGCTTACAGGTAATGGATGTTCGTCTTTCACCATTTTCTGATTTATCTTTCGATAATCTACGCAAACTCGTACACTGCCATCTTTTTTCTTTGTCAATACTAAGGGACTTGCATACTCAGAATAACTAGGACGAATGATGCCCATCATCAACCAATCATCAACTTGCTGCTTCACTAATAGTTCTTCGGTTAAAGCTAATCTTCTAGGCCGTTGTGTAACTGGAATATCATCTTATAGAACAATTTTCAGCCTAATGGGTACATCTTTGGTCTTCAAAGGTACGTAATCATTTATAATATCTTTTACCGCACTACATTGGTCATCATTACTGGAAAAAAAACATATAGCATTTTGATATAAACTATCGTAACATGGAGGCCTAATTTCAACGGCACCTTTGTCTATAACCGTAACAGTATTTACTAAGAATGGTTGAACTAATATTACATCATGTGGCATTACATTAGTTGGTAAAATATAAAAATTAATATTGTAATGGTGATCGTCGATAATTAATTCCGTGTCGAATTTACCGATTGAAAATACTTGTGAACAACTCAACCCGGTAAGCAACATTCTGACAGGTGTATATCCAATATTTAATTTAGAAAAGAAATTTAAAGTTATTAATAGTTATTTAAGTTATTATATCATATCCCCGAAACTCTTCACCGCTGCGTTGGAAGATGTTTTCAAGCTTCTGGACTGGAAAGGACGAGGTATTAACATCAATGGCGAATACATCACCCACCTTCGATTTGCCGACGATATAGTCATCATGGCAGAATCGCTGGAGGACCTGGGTGCTATGCTCAATGACCTCAACAGTGTCTCCCAACGGGTGGGCCTTAAGATGAACATGGACAAGACGAAGATCATGTCTAATGTCCATGTCACGCCTATACCGGTTGTTGTTGGGAGCACTGAGCTCGAAGTTGTTGACGAGTATGTTTACCTAGGACAGTTAGTCCGGCTAGGTAAGTCCAACGTCGACGCAGAGGTCAATCGGCGAATCCAACTCGGATGGGCTGCGTTCGGGAAACTTCGGCAAATCTTCTCGTCGAATATACCTCCAATGTTTGAAGACTAAAGTCTTCAATCAATGTGTGTTGCCAGTAATGACCTACGGAACCGAGACGTGGTCCTTCACTGCTGGCCGTATGAGGAAGCTCAAAGTCGCTCAGCGAGCTATGGAGCGGGCTATGCTCGGTATTTCTCTGCGTGATAGAGTTCGTAACGAAGGCATCCACAGTAGAATCAAGGTAACCGACATAGCTCAGAGGATTAGCAAGCTGAAGTGGCGATGGGCCGGCCATACAGCTCGTAGAACCGATAACCGTTGGGGACGAAAGGTTCTCGAGTGGCA